GCTGGGAAAAAGCAACAGGGCTCTGTGATGGTAATGTGGCCTGTGAGTAAACACGGTGTCATGGGAGCCGAGGGACCCCAGAGGAGGGATGTTGCAACTCCGGACGGCTCCAGCCAAGGGAAGGGAAAAAAAGCAGCTCAGTTTTATTTAGATTAAAGGGTGGGAAAGAAGCAGAGGCCGGAGGGAGGGTGGCAGAGGAAAACAGGACAAGCCAAGGATTTCACTGCCGGACAAGCACGGCTTGGGTTTCATGGGTTGCCAGGCTTTGCTTGGAAAGCTTTCTGCCTTCAAAAGCAAGGGGATGGTGCCCCCCCACCTCAGCCAGGAGAAGCCCTGGCTCCCTGGCTGCGAGGGGCACGGATCATGGGATTCATAAGGGGCTTTTTGCTCGCATACGGGCACCCATGATCTCAGTTAATGACTCAGATGCGCTCAGACAAAGAAGAAATGAAGTATATTTTACTTCCCGCTAATCTGCACCAGATGTCCCTCGCTGTTTGGCAGGACAGCAGAGCCAGGGAGCATTGTGGGAGCGCCTGGAAGCACAGCCCCAGCAAGAAAAGGGGATAGAAATAGGACGCTGCAGGAAGAGAAAGGACCAGCGGCTGTGTGAGAGGCCTGGCTCCGCTCCTGCGCTCCCCACAGCCATCAACCGAGATGCCCTCATGGGCTGTGCTAGCGGCAGTACCTCTGCCCAGTGCAACCGGAGCAGGGAGGCTCGGGCAAAGGGGACAAGAACAGTGTGGGGCAATGGATGCAGGCGTTGCCCCTGGAAATGTAGATGGGATTTGCTGGTTTCCAGCAGGCAGCACATCCCCTTGTGGCGATGGATGGTCTGTAGGGACCAGAGCTCACTCCAAGGGGGCTTTCACCCTCCCTGTCATGCTGAGCCATCCCCTTCACTGTGCACCAGCATTGCAGGCTTGTTCCCAGCTCCCACAGCTCTGTGTGTGCTTGAAGGTCCCCCCTTACTGTTTTTTTTTGTAGGGCATTATTGGTTATGGAGGAGAGGTGAGAAACGTGGTCTAGGCATGCTTGGGAGGAGGGCTGGGATGGCCTCCTTGGTGTGGGTGCCCGTCTGTGTAGATCTCATGGTTTAAGGCATTTGCAGAGCTGGAGGTGGTCCTGTCCCATGTAATCCATGCTTGGGGATGCTTATGCCAGCAGTGGCTGCCATGTGTGCTGAGGTGCTCTGCCAGGAGCACTGCACAGAGGGAAGGGGGCTCCGAGCTGTGGCAGGGAATACCAAGCAAAGTCAAAGGGAATTCATGCCTCCTTACCCAGGAACAGTCAAGGCTGAGCCCACGCAACATATTTTGGGCACTAGCAAAGGCAGCTTTGGCTTACCAGCATCCTTAAACAAGAGATAGGTCTGGAGCAGGAGAAGGGTAATACATCACTGAGGATTGGTGATGCTTGAGCTCCTTAGCAAGGCACTGTGAGATAAGAGTGGCAGAGATGGCTGAAGGAATGGTCCTCCCTAGATAAAGGTGGGACAGTCCCCAACAGAGGCTGGATACGGCTCTTCCTTGTATTCATTCCCCTGGGTGTAGCCCTGCTCCTGCTGCAGAAATTCCCATCCAAGTCCATCAGCCCCCAGCTATGACAAGGAAGGGAGCAGGAGAGGAGGCAGAGGAGAAAGCCCAGCTGTCATCAGGGTTGGGATGCAGGAGAAACGGGAGCAGGCTGCTGTGAAGTCATAAGATAGGGAATCATGAGACTTGAATCCTGGTCCTGGCGCAGCCATGGCCCTGCTGTGTGGCCTTGGCTGTGCTGTTTGACCTCTTTGCTCCGGCCCTTTTTCCTGTGTTCTGTCTGTGAGAACACATCTCTGTGAGCTGTCAGAGCCCGAGGTGCCCTCTGCACAGCACTGTGGGTGCCCAGGGATGGCGGGGTCCCCCCATTTATCCCATCACCCCGCACAATGCGCTGCAAAAGCACGAGGTTAGGGATGCTCCAAGGGGCTTTCAGCAGCACCTGGCCCCAGCCACATGTGGACCCTCTCCTTCCAGCAGGCAGTGGCTGGGAAGCGCTGCAAACTCCACTCTCGGCATCCGGAGGAGGAGCAGTGCCGAGCGCATTCCTGTGGCCCCGCATGCAGCGCGCTGGCCATCCTGGTGTGATTACAGAGCCGAGATAGGGACAATGTGGCTGTGTCACGGGGCAGCGACAGTCGCCTCTATCCATGTCTCGTTTGGACTCAAAACCATCCCAGACATCCCATGTCACAGTGCCCAGCTCCCGGCTGGCTGGGAGCCATCCTCCTCCATGGGGTGTCCTCAGGGACCCTAACCCCCGGAGAGCGCAGCCACCCCATAGGCATGTAGGGCTGGATGTGGGCGCAGGGCTGCATCACCCGGCCCCGCTGCGAGCCAGCTGACCGCCTGTCTCCTCTCCCAGCCACATTCCTCCCTTAGAATAATAAACAGAGGAAAGCTCCCCGATGGCTGCCCTCCCATAGCAGCGCTGGAGAGGGGCAGAGGGGAGGTCTGTGTGTGTGCTGGCGGTGAGGAGGGGATGGTGAGGGGTACAGTGTGGGGATGGAGAGCTGGGAGTTCACCTTGAAGGCACCATGGAGCTGGAGGTGGCATTGCTGCAGGACCTCGCTGGACAGGATGGGAGGAGACAAAAGGCCCTATGGCTTAAAAATGCTCAGATCCTGGCCCATGGGAAGGATGTAGGAGTCCGAGGGTGTCTGTGGAACCCTGCTAATTTATAGGACTGGAAGGAGACAATGCAAGGCAGCTGGGCATCATGTAGATGCCTGTGTTTCATCCCTGGGTGGGATAAGATCTGGGCATCTGCTTTGGGATCACTGAGCGCGGCTGCACCCACCTCAGCCCCTCCTTGTCTGGCACTCATAGCGTGCTGTCGCTAAGAACAAAAGCTGAGTTTGAGAAGGGAACAGAAGTGCTCTCAATCTCTGGATGCATTTGCATCCCTTGTGAAAGGCCTGTGCTCACCCACATGTGCAAGCACACATCCCCATGACAGGGAGAGAAAGGTTTGCCCCTTTGCAACCCAGACTGCATACATCCTGCGGGACAGGCAGAGCTCAGCATCTCCGAGCATTGCCTCTACCCTGGCCAGAGCAGACAAACAAGGGAGAGGTCACCACTCTGAGACATTGCCACCCTCCCACTCTGCTTGGGAAGCATCTCCAAGCGAAATGCCTTTCTGCAAACCCAGCAGCTTTATTAAAACCAGCTATGAACACAGGGGAGGCAGCAGATGGAGCCTGCAGTGCTCTCACTGCCCGCTGAAGCAACAGCCATAGTGGCCTGGCACCAGCATGTACCCACCAGCCCTGGCAGAGCAGTAGTTTGCCCCATCAGTGAGCCTGCAGAGATCAGAGGGACTTGTCTGTGTTGATAGAGAAGCCAAGCTCTTACCTGCAACAGGACTAACAGTGACAGCTATGGAGCTGGACACAGCTAGAAGCTGGGCATGAGCTTGGGAATGTAGCTTCTGGCAGGAAGATATTTGGGGGATGGGGGGGGTGAATACAGCCTGGCTTGTGCATGCAGGCAGGGAGGGGTGAAAGGAGAGGGTCCCAGCTGTCCTTAGAACCTTGATCATTGAATAATGGATGAATCACACACCTCTGTAAAGGAGAATTGGGAAGCAGGGTGATAGTTCTCATGGCAGTGCTGGGGGGGGGTGAGTTCAGATTGCCCATCCTCCTCCTCCCTCCTGCAGGTTGGTGCTCTCTGAGAGTGGGTGCAGTGAGGTCACGTCCATTTAGAGCCTGAATTTCACCTGGGTCCATTCACCCTGCCCACCCCAGCTCTTCCCTGTGGGTGCTCTCATCCCCTCTGGCAATGGCAGAAGGGAGCAGGAGTCACGGCCGGGTTTTCTGGAGCAGAGAGAGGGAAGCTGCTGAATAAGCAGGAGCCCTGGGGGGGTTTGCTGGTGGATCAGACTGCTGAGCCAAAGCAAGAGAATACCAAAACCATCTGACAAGCGCACGTCATTTAAAAACCATTTCCTCCTTAACATTGAGCAGAGCCGGAGGCCACGCCAGGGCCAAGAGGAGAGATGGTGTCAGGGGCTGGGTCAGAAGTCTGGGTTGCCACTGGCCATCCTCGTGCTTGGCCAGCAGCTCCCCAGGCACTGTGTCTGTATCACAGGGTTTCTCCCCTGGCCTCTTGTGACCCAGCAGCAGGGCCAGAGCCCTGATGTCCAGCTCCATGCTGAGCATCATCAAGTTCAGGACTGTTGAATTCATTTGTTCAGGCACAGAAAAACCCTTTTGCCTGTTAATTCCTCCCTTGTCAGCTTCTTCATTTGCTTTATAGAAACACTCATCCCTCCCTCTGCAGGCACTATGGGAAGGGTTAACTGTCACCACGTTACATCAGGGGCAGACCCCACTGCTCTTAGGGAGTTCTGAACTCATCCAGGCTTTTGGTTTGCACCAGGCAGGGCTAGAAATGGTCTGTAGGAAATATTTCTTGAGAAATGTTAACAAAAGGGATTTTTAACTACAAAACCCTCTTCAGTATTCCTTTAGAATATGCATAGTTCAAAGTTACGTACAAGAAACTCAGGTTTTGGGGTTTTTTTAATGGGGGTTCCTTGGGCTTGTTTTATTTCACTGGAAGGAACAGAAAATGTGGGAGGGTTCAGGGGGATCTGTTTTCCAGCAAGTTTTATCTCACTGGGACAGAGGGAAGCAGAAACTAAGGGGGAAAAAGGCAATCTGCAGAGCAGAGGGAGGCAGAGGCAGGGCTCTGCAGCCGGGGGAGCAGCATCTCGAGCACAGATTGACTAGAGTTGACACAACTGCTGGAGCCTCCAGCAAAATCCCTGTTTACCAGCAGGAGATGCCTTAGAAACAGCTCCTTCTGCAGATCCGGCTTGAGATGGAACCAACCACCCAGCCGGGAGGGAAAGGCTGAAAACTGGGAAGGGATGGGAGGTTTCTGAGCTGGAGAAGGGTGGCTGAGGGATCCCTCCTTTGCTGCAGCGCTGAGCTCATCCTGCTTTGCTCTCGGCAGGATTCAGCCACCAAGCCATGGAGCCCACCATGGTGTGCCCTTCTCTGAAGACATCTCTGTGGTTCCTCATCCTCACTGGTGAGTGCTGGGGATGGGGATGGGTGTGCAGGATTGGGCCCTGCATGGGGATGCTGCACTGAGATGCTCACTCCAGGGCAACCTGGAGAAAAAAGGCAATGCTGTTGGGCAGCACAACATACTCTAGGCACATTGCCCCTCCTAATGACTGGGTCCGTGGGCTCATCCGTGCCCAGCCCTATGGTGGGGTTGATGTAATGTCCCAAGTCCCCACCTGCTTCATGCTGGAATGGAATGAGAAGACCTTCGCAAAGGGAGCACTGTCAGGTGTGCTCAGCCCTTAGTAGACATCCGAGAACCCCCATTAACTGGACATTATGGTCACTCCAACAGCAGGAAGGATTTGATCAGACCCCATCTATACAATAACCCCTGCAGCAACACAACAGGGCACCCAGCTGCATCTGGGCTGTTCAGAGCATTGCTGTGTCCCTGGGGGCTGTCCCCAGCTGCCCTTCCCACCAGTGGGGTCACTGGGGAGGACCACACATCCCACTGGGACATCTGGGCAAGGAAGCTGGGAGAGACATGGGGAGCCATTCAGGAAGACCTTGCCTGCTCTATTGCTTCCAAAGGATTTCCTGCCAGGTTGTGCTGTCATTCCTTTTTCACTTTCTTGTAAACTGACATTGTTTCAGCCTAGACCGTGTCCCGTCTGACACTGTGCCTGTGGAGAGGCAGCCAGCAGAGCAGGGAGCTGCCTCATCTCCTCCTTGCCTGCTAAATGCACGGCCATTCCAAGCCTCTGAAGGTGTCACCTGGTGGTGAGGAGCACAAGGCAGCACTGGGTGGCACTGAGGGTGCAGACACCTCGCAGAAAGGTTGGACAGACACAAGACATAGTTAAAGCATAAAAGGGGAGGCTCTCTGCCCATTATTGCCACAGGCAACATGGGCAACTTTGAACACTGCTAAACCCAGGGTGTCTTATTTCCTCTCCAGTGAGGGTTTCGGGAGGTACAGAGAACAAAGGGTGACCCGCATAGGTTTAATTTGACAGGACATTCCTATGGTGACCAAGGAGGACAAATCCAGGAAGGTTATTTGTCAGTGTAAAGGCTAACACCTACAAACCAAGCACATTGGCATGAGGATGTGCTCCAGTGTGCTTCCCTTTGGATGTCAGAGGGGTCCAACCTGGTCTCATCTCTTTCCTCTCCCAGGTCTGCTGGAGGTAGCATCCGGAGCCAGCAGGCTGCACATCGAACCTGGAGACAGTGAGCTTGTCCTCAGCTTCCACAGCACCTTCTCCCTGTTGTGCTATGGGGACGGAGCACTGCTCTGGGAGCGGGAGGGTCAGCCTCTCACCGCATCACTGGAGCACAGGGATGGTGTCTTCGTCAGCAACCTCACCCTCAAGAACGTGACGGGCCGTCACACCGGGGAGTACTCGTGTACCTACAGCCCGGAGCAGGCTCCAGAGCCAGCAGAGAGGAAAGCCATCTACATCTATGTTCCAGGTAGGGGACAGCATGGCCTCATCCCCCCATTTACACAGGCTTTAGCAGCCAGGAGAGAAAGAGAGCTTTGGATTATTCTATCTCCAGGCACTTGGCCCCTCCAAATCCTCCTTCCCACTGCAGAAGAGCCCTCATAACGTCATCTGGCTGTGGCATGTCTCTGGTATGCCAGGTCATGGGAGAAGCGCATGTGTGGTGCTGTTTGGACAAGTGGCAGGGGAAGCAATGGTGCTAGGCAGCAGCATCCAAGTTTCTCTCACCCTCCCACAAGTGGTTTGGCAAGCCCATGACATCGCAGCTCTGCTTTGCTATGGGGAGTAAAGGAAGAAGCATTCCACCAGTCAGGAGACAGAGCCCTGGGGCAGTCCTGGAGGAGCACAGAGCAGCCCTGCTTTAGCTCCAAGCAGCTTTCTGTAACCAGCGTTCTGTTTCTCCCACAGATCCCTCCTTAGTCTTCCTTCCCACAATGACCTCTGAAGAGCTCTTCATCTTCATCACGGGCTACACTGAGGCCATCATCCCGTGCCGTGTGACAAACCCACAGATGCAGGTGACCCTCTATGAGAAGAAGGTGGAGAACCCCATCCCAGCAGCTTATGACCCACAGCAGGGATTCAGAGGCTTCTTTGAGGATAAGACCTACTTCTGTCGGACAATTGTGGATGACCAGGAGGTGGATTCAGACACCTTCTACGTCTACAGGATCCAGGGTGAGCTCCACTGTCTTGTCCTGTGCACCTGCTCTGGCTGTTCCTTCAGCCCAATGGCAGGGGACAGCAAAGCTCTCCAGCTGCCTCCTTAGTGATGCTCTTGATCAATCTAGAGGCTGGATTTAGTCCTGTCTCCATTACAGAATGGGTTCTGCCGAAGTGTCAGCTCCCCCCCTTAGGGAAGAGGCTTTCCAATGAACCAGTCCACCAGGATAAATGGACTTGGCACCCACTCATCCCTTCCTTCATGATTCATTCCTTTCTTGCACCTTCTCCACAGTCTCATCCGTGAACGTCTCCATCAGCGCAGTGCAGACCATCGTGCGCCAGGGAGAAAATGTTACCCTGATGTGCACCGTGAGCGGCAATGAGCTGGTCAACTTCAACTGGGATTATCCCCGCAAGCAGGTGAGGGCTCCAGGCAGCAGCTCCAGCCTCACCTGATGTCCCATGGCAGTGACTCATCAATACCCTAGGTGAAGCTTCATAGGAAGCTGTGGGATGCTGCTGCTGCTTCCACACAGAGGGGCTTGGTGGGATGATCCTAAGATCCAGGCTGCCTTAGTGGCCTCGGATCAGTGCATGTTCCCAAGTGGGATCTTCTACCTCCTCCTGCTGCCTCCCTGTGAACATGGCTTTGTAGCTCCAATGGCAGAACATGCTCTTGAGTTCTCAGACCCTATCTCCGGTCTCTGTTGTGCAGGCAGGGAAGACTGTGGAGCCAGTGACCGACTTCCTGCCCGGATCCACCCACGAGATCCGCTCCATCCTCATCATTCAGAATGCGGAGCTGGAGGACAGCGGGACCTACGTCTGCAACGTCTCTGAGGGCTACCATGAGAAAACAGACCGCAAGGACATCACGGTCCATGTGATCGGTGTGTTGATGCCCACAGACCCAAAGCCACCACAGCACATGGGTGTCAAGGCAGGATGTCCCAGAGTCAGAGTCCCTTCACACTGCCTTAAGTAACCATGGCAAAAAGGAACCCTCACCTCGTATCACCCTGCCCACTTCAGTATCCCAAACGTCCCGCTATGGCTTTTGTGACCCTTTATAATAGTTGAGGGTATAGGTAAGAGCTCTTCTGCACTGTGCAGTGCCAAAGTGATGTGAGACCATATTGTCACCTCCAAGTTGCATCTCTCCTTCTCTCATGTAATTTGAGGGAACCTGCCCCATCTCCACAAGATAACAGCTTTCTGCCAACATGCCACCTGCCCCATGAGCTGCTCTGCCCCAGGGTGGCTCTGAGCCACACTCCCCTCACACCTACCTTGGAGCCTTGAAGGATGGACCTGGAGCTGCTCGATCACTCCTGTGTGTTCAGAGGGGTTTGTTGCACACCCGTGTTGTCCAAAGGGATGGAGAAGGGGTTGTTTCTCTCTCTGACCCCTCACCCCCTCTTGTCCCCTCTCAGAGCGTGGCTTTGTGCGCTTCCACACCCGCCTGCCCAGCACCGTGTACGCCGAGGTGCACAAGAGCCGCACCATCCAGGTGGAGGTGGAGGCCTACCCACCACCCAGCATCGTGTGGCTCAAGAACAACAAGACACTGACCATGGAGAGCAGCAGCGAGTTCACCATCACCAGCAGGAACCTGTCAGAAACCAGGTGAGGGCCCATCACTCCTCACCAGGGTGCAAAGGGGTTAATTCACAAAGCAATCTCCAACTTGCTGGTTGGACACAGCTGATGAATGACTTTCTAAGGGTGGATTTTGAGCATGCCTCCAATGGGTGGGAGCTGATTGCCTTTGAGCATTATCAGTCCCCAGATACCTTCCCACATCCATCACTGTGGGACTGTGTCTTCTCCAGGTACCAGACGGGCCTGGTGCTGGTGCGGGTGAAGCAGGAAGAAGGAGGATTTTACACCATCCGGGCTTCCAATGAGGATGATGAGCAGGAGCTGTCCTTCCATCTGCAGATAAATGGTGAGGATGGGCATGCTAACATGGGGCTGTGGAGTGAGGGCAGTCTCAGGGTGAAGATGGACCTTCAGGCTGAAGCCCTTACTCCTCTGGCTGAGGCTCCAGAGTGGTCTGAGTTACAGAAAGAACATTCAAGCAAGAAGCATGCTCGTATCTCCCCCTTGGTCTCAGAGCAAGGAGGACAGGGACGCATTGCAGACATCAGCAGCTTGGTCTTCATGCTCTTTCTCAGTGTAGTAGATACAGAGCTGGCACTTTCCCCTGTGCTTGCCTGTGCTCTCCAAGCAACTTAAATGGGGGCAGGTTTCCTCCATACCCCCTCAAACCTTTCTTTTGGCTGTTAGCTTTCAAAACCCCACACAATCGATGCAATGAGTCTTTTCTCACTGCTTCCTCATCCCCAGGCCGTGCCAGGGGCACAATGGAATCGCGTTCCCCTTCCATCCTGCAGTCAGAAAGAAGGATTAATTCCCCTCACTGTCTCTTGGTTTCAGTGCCAGCCAAAGTGGTGCATCTCAAGGAGAACAGCAGTGCCAGTAGTGGGGAGCAGACCGTGACGTGCTCTGCTGAAGGCATGCCCCAGCCAGAGATCAGCTGGTCTACTTGCAGAGACATCAAATGGTAAGTGGAGCAATAGAGCCCATGGGAATGGCTGGATACTTGCATTTATGACAAGAAAAGACATTTATTTGTTTGTTTGTTACGTAGGGCAAAATTTCCATGCTGGCCTCAGAAGAGATTTCCCACATATATGGGGCGGGAGGAGGAGTTGGAAGAAATTTATGATTACCACCTTCCAGTACCTAAAGGAGCCTGCAGGAAATCTTGGGAGAGACTTTTTACAAGAGCTTGTAGGGACAGAACAAGGGGGAATAGACTTTAGCCAAAAGAGGGGAGATTTAGATTAGATATTGGGAAGAAATTCTTCATTACGAGGATGGTGGGACACTGGCACAGGGTGCCCAGAGAAGCTGTGGCTGCCCCATCCCTGGCAGTGTTCAAGGCCAGGTTGAACATAGGGGCTTGGAGCAAGCTGCTCTAGTGGAAGGTGTAGTCCTGCATCTGGGCAGGAACAACCCCAGGTTCCAGTATAGATTGGGGAACGACCTTTTAGAGAGCAGTGTAGGGGAGAGGGACCTGGGGGTCCTGGTGGACGACAGGGTGACCATGAGCCGACACTGTGCCCTTGTGGCCAAGAAGGCCAATGGCATCCTGGGTGTATTAGAAGGGGGGTGGTTAGTAGGTCGAGAGAGGTCCTCCTTCCCCTCTACTCTGCCCTGGTGAGACTGCATCTGGAATATTGTGTCCAGTTCTGGGCCCCTCAGTTTAAGAAGGACAGGGACCTGCTGGAGAGAGTCCAGCGCAGGGCAACTAAGATGATGAAGGGAGTGGAGCATCTCCCTTATGAGGAAAGACTGAGGGAGCTGGGTCTCTATAGTTTGGAGGAGATTGAGGGGTGACCTTATTAGTGTATATAAATATATAAAGGGGGAGTGTCACGAGGATGGAGCCAGGCTCTTCTCAGTGGCAAACAATGAAAGGACAAGGGGCAATGGGTACAAATTGGAACACAAGAGGTTCCACTTAAACCTGAGAAGAAACTTCTTCTCAGTGAGGGTGACGGAACACTGGAACAGGCTGCCCAGGGAGGTTGTGGAGTCTCCTTCTTTGGAGACATTCAAAACCCGCCTGGACACGTTCCTGTGTAACCTTATCTAGGTGTTCCTGCTCCGGCAGGGGGATTGGACTAGATGATCTTTTGAGGTCCCTTCCAATCTCTAGCATACTGTGATACTGTGTGTCCCTGCCCGTTGCAGGGGTTGGAACTGGACAAGCTTTAAGGTCCCTTCAACCCAAACCAGGCTGTGATTCTATGATGTTATTGCACTCTGCTGGCCACACACCCAGGCAGCCCACGGAGGTCCCTGCTGCCCCTCAGATACCGTTATCCTCCTCTGGACCAGGTGCAGCACCAAGGGGAAGCCCACCCGGCTGCTGGGGAACGAGTCGGCAGAGATCGGGCTGCAGACCAACGCCACGTACCATGCGGAGCTGCAGGTGTACCGCGTGAACAGCACCCTGCAGCTGCACAGGGTGGACGAGCCCCTGCTCCTGCGCTGCACCGTGCACAACTTCCTGGGCACCAGCTCGCAGGACATCACGCTCGTCCCGCATGGTGAGGGCTGCGGGAAACACTTGAGACAATGGTGGGGAGATGGAGTTTTCTCTCCATGTCTCCAGCCTGGAGGTGCTGGAGCCAGGACAGTCCTCTGGTGACTGCAGTCCTCGAAACCTGGGTATTTCTGCCCCAGATAAAGCCCCCTTTAAGTAGAGCAGGAAAGGATGCTCCAGGAGGGATCTGGATCCCCGTGGACATCCCCTTCCCACCACTAGCAGGGTCGTCCATCTAGGGAGGCAAGATGGGAGTGCCTGAACAGGTCCCTTGTGCCTTGTCATTAACCCGTGGGTCACTAGATGGTGCCACGGACTCAAGCATCCACGCACTGAACATCCTAAATCAGAGGAAGAATGGTCTGAGCCCAGGCCGGAGCTGTCAGTGCCCCCCAAACAAAGCAGCCCCTCTGGCTCCTTATATTGACCCTTATATGGTCAAACCTCTCACAAGGCACTCTGCTGTCCATGGGGTTCAGGTCTGCCCAGGAGGAGAGGACAGGCACTGTCCCCACACAGAGAAGAGCTCAGGGCCAATGTCTGGGGGGGATGCATGTAGCAGGAGGGGGACAGTGGCTAGAAGAGGGAAGGGGAAGGGTGCAAGATGCACTGCTGTCCCCTCCTTTCCTTGGGGTACCCAGGCCATGCAGAGGTGGAGGAATCTGACTGCTGTGCCTGTTATTGTTGTAGCCTTGCCGTTCAAGGTGGTCATCATCTCTGTCATCCTGGCCTTGCTGGTCCTCACCGTCATCTCCCTGATCATCCTGATCGTCCTGTGGCAGAAGGTAAAAGACCGTGGGCTCCATCAGTCTCTGCATGCCCCTGCCTAGACAGGGATGAGGCAACAACTGCAGGGACCAAAGACTCCCTAACAGAGCTACCAGTATCCCTCAGCCTCTCAGACCTCTCTTCCCTTTGCTCCCATTTCCAGAAACCTCGCTATGAAATCCGCTGGAAGGTGATCGAGTCCGTCAGCTCCGATGGGCACGAGTACATCTACGTGGACCCCATGCAGCTCCCTTATGACTCCAGCTGGGAGGTGCCCAGGGACAAGCTGGTGTTAGGTAAAGGCTTTGCAGGTCCCACTGATGGACCCCCAGGGTCTTGTATGTCTGAAGGTTTGGGATAGGTTTGGGTTTGTGATCTCCAAAAGAGACCAACCTAGAAAGGAGCAGAGATCCCTGGATGTGGTCCCAGTCTCAAACATCATAGCTCACAACCACCTCCATGCCCAACCACTGGTGTGGTTTCAGACCAGGGACTTGTCTTTCCCAGTCCCCTCTCCCTGAGGACCATCACTGACTTTTCTCCTTGCTCTTTCTCTGCAGGACGCACTCTCGGCTCCGGTGCCTTTGGACGTGTGGTGGAGGCAACAGCCCATGGCCTGAGCCATTCCCAGTCCTCCATGAAAGTGGCAGTCAAAATGCTCAAGTGTGAGTTGCCCCCACACCACCCCTTTCCCTATTTTCAAGCTGCAAAGGCCAAACAGTGCCCGTTCACTCCCCTCCTTGCCCTGTCCCACAGCCACTGCCCGGAGCAGCGAGAAGCAAGCCCTCATGTCCGAGCTGAAGATCATGAGCCACCTGGGACCTCATCTCAACATCGTCAACTTGCTGGGGGCCTGCACCAAAGGAGGTACCTGAGAGCTGTCCTTGGAGTGGATAATTCCTGCTTGCTGGTTCAGATTGATTCACCCTTCCCTATGGAAAGCCTTGTGAGGCTCTGAAAGCATTTCTTTCCAATGGGATTGAAACCGAGCAGCCATGTTTCTGTTAACCTCCACCTCCCATCCCAAACACAGATTTCAGATTCCCAAAATGCTCAGTACTAGAAAGGGGGCTCTCCCTCCTGGCCCTGCTCACACATCCTGGAACCTTGCAATGTTCCTTTGGGATGATACTCACCAAACAGGGCCAAGGTAGGGCTGACGTGGGTGCTGTCTCCCACCAGGACCCATCTATATCATCACCGAGTACTGCCGCTATGGGGACCTGGTGGACTACCTGCACCGCAACAAGCACACCTTCCTGCAGTGCTATGGGGAGAAGGCACGGCGAGAGGCAGAGCTGTACGGGAACACCCCCAAGGAGGACCACGTGCAAAGGTACTGGAAAGCAGCACTCTTCTCCTCCTCCCTGGTGCCTACCCCATCATAGCCCCCATCAATAAGCCTGGTATTCCCAGGAAGGATAAATACACTTAATCCAGATCAGTGCAGTAAAAGCTGGGCCAGCACTGGGACACAGTTGATCCCTGTGTTACCTTGGGGAGACCAGCCCATGTGCCAACCAGCCACCTCCAAACAGCTCCTGGCAGATGAGGAGTTAGCAGAGGCAATATGTGTGTGTCCTGGAGGATGGGTTTGCTAGCACACATATCAGCTGCTCCATGCCAGTTGGGAATATTCCCTGGCATCGCTAACTTCACTGGCATAACCATGGCTGTGTATTCAGCACAGACACGAAGGGTTTCCCAGCATGTCTTTACCCTTAGAGACCTCAGCTCTGCATTTTCAGGGCAGGTTGTGTTGCTACTGAGCCTAAGGGAGAAATGCTGTAAGGAGTGCAGTTGCACAAGAGGTCCTGCAAGGAAAGGGAAATACTCCTTCATCTGTGTGCCAGCTGTAAGGCATGCAGGCACATCAGCACAGAGAAATGGTCCCATGGGAAGTTAGAAAGCAGCATTTCCTTCTCGCAGGCCGAAACAATATAAAACAGAGCAGTGTCAAGACATCAGCACCCCTGCCCTCTAGACTTCCTGCTTGAAGGCAGCTGAGATCCTCCTAAGCGCTAAGAAGTTTCCCAAGCCCATGGGGATGCTCCCCACAGCTCCAGCCATGCAGCAGACTTCCCTTGCCCAGCACCAGCATGTGGACGATGGGTGCTGCTTCCCAGATGCAGTAGTTGCCCGCTCCCTGCTGTGTGGGGTATTTCAGTGCTGGGGCTGTGGGCTCAGGAACTGAAGTCCCACAAATCACTGTCCCCATTCCCTGCATCTCCTCTGGATCTGAGCAGCCTCTTTGCTTCCCCCCAGTCACCTCTCCTTGTCTGTCGAGAGCGATGGGGGTTACATGGACATGAGCAAGGACGACTCCCTGGATTATGTGCCCATGTCTGACATGAAGGGTGAAGTCAAGTACGCCGACATCGAGTCCTCTAACTATGGCACCCCATACGAGCTGGACAGCTATTCCCCATCAGGTAACAGCCATACTGGGAGGCGGAGGGTCTTGCACTTTGGGTGCTGGATGCCTTTGCTTGCAGAGATGGGTGATTTGCATTGAAAAGGTCACGCTTGGGATGAGTTCAGCAGTTGGCTGAGTAACACTGACATCAATCTCTGCTTGCTCTTCAGCTCCTGAAAGAACAGACCGGGTGACACTGATAAATGAGTCTCCCCTCCTCAGCTACATGGACTTGGTGGGATTCAGCTTCCAGGTGGCCAATGGGATGGAGTTCCTGGCTTCCAAAAATGTATGTATGGCTCTGGTCCATAGTGCCTGCAGCAGTGAAGGCCAGTGCAGCCCTGCTGTGTGCTGTGGTCAGCTTCTGCTCATTGTCCCTCTGTCCGTGCCAACCTCCTCATGGGAGAAGCGGCAGTGAGATTGAATAGCTGCTGACCACGTCTCTTTGGAAACACAGACCTGGGAATCAGCATGACTTTATTTGCACATGACAGCTAACCCTGGCTTAGATTGAGATCCAGGCCAAAAATTCCCTGACCCTGAGCTCCTCCCAAGCCATGCCCAGCACATCTGTGGCGTTATATCATCCTGTTTACAGGGATGACCAAACAGTGCTGACCTCCCTGTGCTACAGCACAAGGCACTCCACAGCGGAGCCACTACTCTCCGCATCACCCCTATTGAACCACATGCTCTGAGCCCTCCAGGCCTCATCACAAGTGCTTGTTCAGTGGAAATTAAGCCACCACATAGGACTGGGCTCTGGGATTTCCTAAGGTTTCATAAGGTCTTGGGATTCCTATGGTTTTCCTGGCTTAGCCTAGGGCAGGCAGTAATAGAGTTGGACTGTGCGAAACATCACACAGGGCAGGGCTAAGAGAGGGGGTGAGGATGGCATCAGTGATGAGCAGAGGGAAATTCCTGGCTCTCTGCCTGTAGCCAGACAGTTCATGGTCAGGGCTTCCTTGGGCTGTCTGGGGGCCCCTCGCAGTGACAGTGTCCTGCCTCCCCCCTACAGTGTGTGCATCGTGACCTGGCTGCCAGGAACGTCCTCATCTGTGAGGGGAAGCTGGTGAAGATCTGTGACTTTGGCCTGGCACGAGACATCATGAGGGATTCCAACTATATCTCCAAAGGCAGCGTGAGTACCAGGAGCTGTGCAAGCCCCCTCTTCCTGGGGCTTTGGGGCCATCTATCATTGTGCCAGGGTGGTGACAGGGCAGGACTCCCAGGAGATGGTGTCAGCATCCTGATGTGCTCTGCAGGTTGTGGGGTAGAATTGCATGTCCATATCCCCAGGCTCTTACGGAAGAGCTGGGGCAGCAGCAGTAAAGCTGAGGATGGTCCCTGCAGAGCCCATCACTGGCAGCAGTGTTGCATCCCTTCCCTACACAGCACTGAGTCTGGTGCTGAGCTGCAGGCAGGAGGGGTACAAGGTTGGGCAATCCAACAGTGCTGCAGTGGGTCATTGGCCACTCTGGGAAGAGGTTCACAGACTTCTGCTCTAACCATCAGACCACAGGCAAAGAGGAAGAGCCTTCCTCCAGGCAGCTGCTTTCCAGAAAGAGGTCTCCAATCTTTCAAGGCAGGAGAGGATGAGGCTGGAACTGAGCTTACCCAGAACGTGCCCTGTGACTTGAACACAGCATGTCTGCTTCCAGCCCCACCATACTGGGGAATGTGCAACCCCAAGCAAAGCAGGCCATGTAATTCCCAGAGAAACTGAGGCTGGGGGAGCTGAGAGTGGAGCCAGGCCCCTTCACCCCATCTGCTTCATGAACTTACCCAACTTCTCTGCCATTTGCATGGGCCAGCAGACAGGCGCTCAGTGCCTGGGCAGGGAGACCCTCCTGCAGAGGGGCTGCGGTTTCCAATCCAGCCTTGCCATAGCTGCTTTTCCTTCCGAAACGGGAAATGAAACTGGGCCCCTTTGCAATCCTTCCTGGAGATTATTTTGGTATTCATTGTGCAAGCAAATCCCAGGAACAGCACAGCCAGTGCTGCCTGAAACAAGGGCTGTAGATGCAGCTGACTCTCTTCTTGTTCCATTTTTTCCTCTTAGACCTTCTTGCCCCTGAAGTGGATGGCTCCTGAGAGCATCTTCAACAACCTCTACACCACCCTGAGTGATGTGTGGTCCTTTGGGATTCTCCTCTGGGAGATATTCACTCTAGGTAAGTGCCCTGGAGATCATGGTGGTGTCTATAGGTCTGATAGCGTGTTACCAGGATCCCTTCTCAGATTCCCATTTCTAACCCCCAAGTCCCAGCCTTACCAGTCAGGGCAGCACTTCATTCCCTGTCTCCTTCTTTCCCATGCTGACATTGCTGTTTGGAAATGAAACGAAACAGGAAAGGTAAAGAAAAAGGAATCCTTGGTGTGAAATGCATGTTGGCATGGGGTGGCAGCAATCCACCAGCCTGATCTCCTGCTCTCCCTTTACACCCAGGGGGGACTCCATACCCTGAGCTGCCTATGAATGAACAGTTCTACAATGCCATCAAACGTGGCTATCGGATGTCCAAACCCACCCATGCCTCTGATGAAATGTAAGTGCTGCCCATACGTGCTGGGCCTGCAATTCATAAGCTACAGAAGCATTTCTGCCTCTCCTTTTCCTACCCAGTAACTCACCGCAGTGCTCTCTCGTCCCTCTTGTTAGCTATGATATCATGCAGAAGTGCTGGGAGGAGAAGTTTGAGATCAGACCATCCTTCTCACAGTTGGTGGTGCTTATGGGAAACCTGCTGGTGGATTGCTACAGAAAGGTATGTTCAAAGGAGCCTGTGCTGGAGGGACAGGAGAGTGCTCTATGGAGGCTTTGGTTAAGTCCTCAATCAGGGTTTGGAGACCAGTGTTTAGTGCTGCTATACCAGAGGATTTTGCTGTGGTTAAGGCTGCATTAGCTTGAACACCCAATGAAGGTGGCTTGGGCATCCTGGGGATATGATGAGACAATCAGCACCACCAGACAGGCAGCTTGGATCTAAGCAACTGCAGAAATCAGAACTGCCAGGAGACCAAAACCCTGCTTCCAACTGAGCTGTGGAGTTGTGCCCCTGATGTCTCCTTTAGGAAACGTTCATGATCTGTCTCTGGTGGAGTCAGTGTAGCTGAACCCAGCTAGGAGATGCCAGGCCCTCTAGAAAAAGCCTAGGAGGCAGGGAAAGCGAATACAACACAAGTGCATCTTCTCCAACCCCGAGACCTTCCCGTTTCTTTGGTAACCTGCAGAGGTACCAGCAGGTGGATGAAGAGTTCATGAAGAGCGACCACCCCGCTGTTGTCCGCACAAGACCCACGATCCCCAGGCTGAACAACGCCAGGATCACAGCCAGCTCCCCCCCCGGCAGCATCCTCTACACCTCCGTGCACCAGAACGGGGGTGAGAACGATTACATCATCCCTCTGCCCGACCCCAAACCAGAGGCGGTTTGTGACCTCCCTCCGGAGGCCTCCATCAGCCGGGCCAGGTAAAACAGCGCTTCTGAAAGCCATCCCTTCTCCTGACTCCCCAGACATGAAAACAGGGTCCTCAAGAGGAAATGGGGATGCTCTGCTGAGGGATAGATGGGGGCTGGGTTTACCAGGAAGGAAGAAGGGCAGTGTCACCTCCATCTGAGCCTGCAGGGAATGAAATGAACCAGGGGAGATGGGACATGAGCTAAGATAAGGTGCCATCTCACATCCCCATACATCAGCCAGCACAGGAGGGGATAAGTGACCCCACTCACAAGGAGGAGGGCACATAGGGACCCATGCCCTGCAGAACACAAAGGGGTGCATGTTTTAGGGCTGAATAACCCAAACTGATACTGTCTGGAAAGCTGTATGGATAGAGTGGGGGTGCTTGGAGCTTGACGTGCTTCTCAGCTGTTGGGAATCCTCTCCTACCAGGAGACTTAGGGCAAGGCACTCATTTGTCTCTCCCTCTTGTCTCCCTTCAGCTCTATGCTGAACGAGGCCAACACATCATCTACAATATCCTGTGACAGCCCCCTGGGCCTCCGGCAGGACGAGGAGCAGGAATCTGACCCACAGCCAGGCTGCCAGGAGCTGACCGCAGGACACCAAGAGGTGGAGGAGAGCTTCCTGTAGTCAGAGCTGGGCTGCCTCTGCATCCCCCTATGGAGAGGCCAGCTGAGGGGCTGACCCAGATGTCACAAGAGCCATGCTGTGTCTGTACATCGGGACACCCCTGCCTGCCCCAGCATCCCTCCTTCCCTCCTGTCTCCCAGCGCTGGGTGGGGAATCGACTTTTCCCCATTGCCATCCCCTTTCCCCTTACAAAGAGGTGGCTCACTGCTAGCAACCTTCCAGATCACTGCCACATCCTCCTCGGTGATGAAACCACTGCGGGAGGGAGACATCTCACAAACCAACATCTTCTTTTCAAGCGGAAGACATGGGTTGGTTCTCCACAGGAGACACCACTTTCTGCCTTACTAAGATGATACTCCAGCCTCTTCCCCCTCCACGGCGGTGGGTTTCATCTCCTCTGCACCAGCACTTCTCTGACGGTCTCAGCACCAGCCACACTGTGGTTCTGTGAAATGCCAGCGGGATGGATGATGTGCCTGGAGTCTGTTGCTGGGGCGCAGAGAACCTCTAACACCAGCCTTCAGCTGCTGGAGATCAAGAGTACATTGGGTAGATTCTCCTCCAAGCACAGCCAAGTCCTGGGGAGAACAGCCAGTGTCTCAGATACCCAATCACCATCTTCCCTTCTTGACAGCTCTTCTGTGGTGGACAGAGCATCACAAGCACTACAGGTACCCATGGCTCTGGGGCACAGCTCTGCACCCATCTAGAGGGGCGGTCACACCCTGAAGCCTTTTGTGCCCTGCATGGCACCAAGAGCCCCATGGGCATGCCAGGAACTCAGAATGCTCTCACAATGACTCTGTTGTTGTAGCAAAGAGGGCAGTCCAGTGTTGTTCATGTTGTCTGTGTGGACACTAAGCTAATTATTCTCTATTGAAGATTTAAAGGGAACAAGTACATTAATCCACTAGCCAGGGCCAGTATAAGAAGCAATATGGCTACTCATTAATCTACTGCCACAAAGCCCAGCTCATCCGCTGGGAAATCATATAACCCTGCCAGCTGCAAAACGTTTGTGCCTTATCCTTGGGAAGCAAGGGATCCCTTTTGATCCCTGTTCACTCAAACACCCTTTCTCAGGATGGGAGGTCTCACCAGTCCCTCCTGTGTCATAGCAAGACTATGGGGAGCAATAAAGATGCCAGAACACCAACCCAGGGGTATGTTAAAAGAGAGATAGGGAAAGAGACTGGGAAATGTTTGGTCACAGCCTAACTGGATCTCACACCCTGTCACTTTCTGGGGGCCAGACGTAGCCATTTACTGGGCTGTGGATGAAGTGCCATGGGCAACCAAGCAGGGCAGGAGGAACCAGGGAGGATTCCTCCCCCTTGGAGAGCGGTTTGATGAATAAAAGGGCAGAGACCTTCCTCCTGCTTCTCACCTCCTTCCTCACAGGCAGGTCTGGGATTATAGCTCTCAAGCAGGCACTTGAATGAGGAGACTCAAAGCAGGGGGAACCCCAGGCTTTTCAAACCAGTTGTGAGCAAACCTCTTGCAGAGATGGAAGCTGGGCCCCAAAAAGCAGGTCTGACACCACAGAAACTGGCAGGGCTTTTTCTTGCATGGAGCTCTGCTTGCTGCATGCCCCCACTCCCATTAACCCCTCCGTTTATGCACCTCTGTGCATGCAGAAGCTGCACAGGCAGGTTGACAGATTCAGAAGTTCCCTCAGCATCTTGCTGGGCTTCTGCCCCCTCAGAGCCACTGAGATTTCTTTTTACTTCAACATAACTTCTGCCAGAAACCCCCAGCAAAACAGCTTCTGTTTTAAGTTGTCTGTCGTTGCGATGCTGCCATTTGTGCAGCTCAAAGAGGAGTAGGTGTTTTGTGGGCTGATGTCCTTGCTAAGATGTGAACATAAGGAATAGCACTTTTATTGGCAGGCAGTGGAGTGTATTTTCAGCTCATGTGGTCAGATTCCCCACCATCCGTAGGAAACACACTGTGAATAACAACTGTTTTTCCATGCTCTGTTCCTCCTGCTTGTAACGAAGGAACCATCTTCTGTGGCTACAGTTCATGAAACAACCCCGACCGCAGAGAAGCAGTAACTTATCAGACCCTTAGGGTCAGACCACTTTATCTGTGTAAGGTGCTTGGTAAGATCCATGTCGCTGCAAATTGAGCCCATAGGATGGCACATCAGATCATCCTAATAGCCCCTGTCTGCACCAGCTCCGTTTTCATTTGTCATTCTCTATTAAGGGTGACCAGAAGTACTCAGTACTCCAGGTTAGGTCAAATCTAGACCTCACATAGGGCATTAATAGTTCTGGTCTGTACTGGATTTGGCTTGCCTGGTGTAGCTGTGGGTAATGTTGGCCTTTTCCCAGCCACAACATACTGGCTGTTTGGAGTCATCCTCTGACCAGTCCATGCACCTACATCTTTCTGTTCCTCCAGCGTTTCTAACCCAGCTACTCCCCGCTGGTCCAGACATTGGGTCATCAGCACATTTTGTTAACAAACTGTTATTTTTGGGCTGGACTGACTAATAAAAATACTAAGTACTTGTAGCATCCAGAGCAACACTAGAGAGCTGCTTTTGCTACCTCTGTTCAGCCCAAAGATTTCCCCATCAGTTAACCCTTTCTCATCCTCCCTTTGGCCATTTACTTTTTTACTTCACAAATCCCACACTAAACTCCACCTTGTACAGATTAATTATTAATTAAATTAGTAATTTCCCATTACCAAATAGTTTCCACCGTGCTGAAGCAAGGAGATCTTTGTCTTCTTGCTGGGGGAACTCAGGTATCCTGTCCTATTAGCTGGGCATTACCCCTGGATGCCTATTTGTAGATGTATTGCAACTATTATTTCCATCAAAACCTGTTGTGGCTGCTGACATGGTGCTAACCCCCTTCCCTCCTCCTCCTTAAAGCAGGTACACCAGACTCTTTGCTAAACAGTGCAATTCTCCAGAGAGACAGGACCAAATATCTGCCTTTGGCCAAGTCTTGCACTTTGTGGTACTGCCCTGTCCCTACTCAACTCTTCCCATCATCACTTAGAGCATGCACACTGGCTGCAGCGAGCAGATCTCTACCAGGCTGGCAGTGGGCAAAGCCAGCATCTTTTGCTAAGCATCCCTGTGACTCTCCTCTAAGAGAAGGCTTGGTAAAAGTGAGGCTTACAGCAGCCCCCAGACAAGCTCTCTCTGCTGCCATCATTCCAGTCCCTATGTGTCCCAAAGGGTGAGGACCAGGAGAAGGGGTCGGCTGTTCTGCACCCATCAGTTTTGCAGCCATAATTTCCCCGGTGAGGCTCCAAAGGGAATCAGTCCCTCTGGGTTTCTAGTTTCAGTGATCAGCATTTTTATTTGAGTATGTTTTTGTGTTTAGAGGTGGACCCAAACTGACACCCCCCCCAAAAAAAAGGGACACATCTTGCACAGCTTGGGCCCATCTCTCGTGCAATATCTTTTATGCGTAGATATGTATTTTACTCTGCAGGTGTCACGTCGTTATCAGCACCAGTATATGCATAATCCTACCGCCAGTCACTATTTCATACGTACCTACATGTATCCCAGAAACTAATGTGGCACTTTGGTGTCTCCTTCCACATGTAAGATGCTTCTCAGACTGTGCACGGGTTTTAACCCTTTTGTCCTTCTTGGTTTGAGCGTGTTACCCTGTTTTTAAGCGCGAGTGTCACGTTTAGTGTTTGTGTGTGTCATGTAAAGAGATGTAGAGCACAGCGGACTTTACTCCTAACTGAATTGTCTCTGTTCACCTGCCAAGGGCACCGTGGTGGGGTCCCACGGGGACCGGAGGCAGAAGCGCAGTGCAGATGTGCAGCCAGGAGGAAGTCAGCCACAAGTGAGAAACGGCTCTTCCCCTTCTTCCCAGTCAGGGCTCTGGGCTGGAGGGGAGGCAGCACCACACATACAGGGTACTGAGGGTTCCGGCTGTGGGGAAGCGCAGGGTGTGAAGATGGGCAGCTCTGGAGAGGGGGATTTCATAGATGTCCCCTTATGGGGGCTTTTTCTAAACTGAGATCTCACCTAACGTGCTAAGGAGGCAAATCCAACACATAAGCATGAGGAAAGGCTCTGGTCGGGCTCTGCACTTAGCTCAGGTCCCAGGGTCTTGTGGCCAGTTCACAATGCAAACCACACAGACCAAGGGAGAGTCCTTGGCTGCCAAGCCAGCTCTGAGGGGTGCAGACACAGCCTGACTGTGCTCCCAATTGGGGAGCATGGAGGCTGCCCTGGGACGTGCCAAGATCGATCCGGCTGGCTTTGGCAAGGGCAGGGGAACTGCTCCACTCATGCTGGGAGGCTGCAGTGTCCCATCAACCCTGTCCTTTCCTCTTTATGGACTTCACCAGAACTGCAGAGCTTGCCCAAATCCTGCCCTCTCCCCCTCCTGCTGTTGGCATCACGCTGTTGCTCTGCATCATCTCTGATCAGCAGCAGCATCTGCCTCCGCGCTGTCTGTCAGAAACCATCCCGAGGGCAAAGACAAAAACAGAGTTCAGACTAAGGTACCAAAGAGTTAACGTTTTCCTAGGTTTACAGATATATTTGTAGGGTTTGTACTGCGTCACATCTATAGCCATGAGATACTATTTTTATGCTGTAAACTTTTACAAATACGTTTTTAAAGAAAGAGTTTAAAAATAAAGGTGTTTTTCTTTTTGCAAAGTTCCATCTCTTCCTTTTGTGTGCTGGTTTTGGTTGCTCCCACTCAGATGGGGCTGGGAATACAGCTTAACCATGTGGTGGGTGAAGGCTAAGCATGTTAATACGCTGTGCATGACCCCAGCGCTTAGCAAAAGCCAAGCTGGGAGCCAGGCAGAGAGAAGCACAGCAAGGCTACAGCTGAGCCCTAGGACATGGTAAGAAACAGTGGCTGCAAATAGGGAACCATCTGCCCTGTCATGTTGGTAACTGGCCAGTTTGTGGATCCCATTGCACTGGGAGGAGGTGGGTAGAGGGAAGGACACAGAGAGGAGTTCCTATGTGTATCCCCTGTGCCTGAGGTTTGGCCAAGAGCACCGTACAAAGGCTTGATGTGCTCCTTGGGATCATTGCTGCGTCTGTGCTCAGGTCAGGGTAAGGGTGCAGGAGATGCCAGGCTGAGCAGTGCTGGGCTGAAGGAGCTGGGAGACAGCCTAGTGCTGTTTGTTAGCTTTCTCCCATAGTTCAATAGCTGAGGGTGATGGGAGAGACTGGAGGTAGCAATGGGGCAGGGCAGCAGCAGCCACGCTGCAGTGCACAGTGCTCCCCATGTCCAGCTCTCCTCCAAGCTGGGTCCCCCCCTGCCTCTAGGATTTCACTGATACCCTTTAAGGATGAACCCCCAAAACACCGGCTCCCCTCGCTGCTGCTCCTCCCCATCCCTGTGAGACTCATTCCTGAGTCCAGCCCAAAGTTCTCTGCTCTCCTGGCTCCGATGGAGCTGCTCTTACAGAAAATGCCCCCCGGCTGCTGGAGGAGCTGTTTGCAGCCAGCTCTAAAGCCTGGGGTTGATGTGAAGAGGGGTTTTTGAGCTGAGGTTCAAATAGATCCATGCTGACGCTGTTCTGAGGCTGCAGGATGCAGCCCAATGCAAGTCCCCATTGGCGGCAGCTGTGCCTCTCTGGAAACCCCTTGTGCACCCAAAGCCCAAAGGCACTGGCTGCAGCAGAAGGCAGCTCCATGTCCCTTTCCCATGCTTTTCCTGCCTCTGCTCAGTTTGCCAGAGAGGAGGTTTGGAGGCTCCGGACCAGCTCAGGCTGATTCTCCCCAGATACAATCTGAGTCAATGGGCAAGGCTCAGCCAGGACAGGCAAACAGGGCTGAATCAGCAGGGAAACAATCACCTTGTCCCCAGAGGGGCTGGGGGGGAGCAGGGAGGGGGAATTGGGAGACCTCAGCCCTGCTCCCAGCTGGTTCCCTGCCTGGCAGGTCTGGTTGTGGGGATGCACTGGGTACACTGCATGTGTGCAGGCTGTGACTTGTCACCTGCGGACCCACATCCCCTTGGGATGCAAAGGGCCACCTCGAAGAGCAGAGTCTGAGCGATTGCTTCCCTTCTCTGCATCAAACCTGCCTGGTTCAGGGCTTGCTCTCACTGGTGAGTCAGTTCTCTCTGAGCTGGCATGTGTTCCTGGAAAAAAGAGTTAAAAAGAAGAAGGAGGGAACCAAACATCCTTTAAAAAGCCCCTTTGGCTCAAAAGGAGGAAAGAATCATCGGGCAGACGTCTCCTGTGGCCCCAGTGCTCGCCAGCCCCCCGGCTCTGGGCAGGAGCCCCCCAGCACACCACACTTCGTGTTCTGCTTCCCCACATCCTGCCAGGAAAAAGTGCTGAGAGGAAATCTGCTCTGGCCAAGAGCTCCTTTCCTCCTCTCTGGACTCGCTCCGGCTCTCCAGCCATCCTCATGGCCAAAACCAGGAGCTGTCTCCATGCTCGCATGACTGTTAGTCATCTCCAGCACAATCAGCCCTGCTCTCATCCCTTGGCCCCAGGACCTTGTCTCTAACTGCCTTCTTTGGAGAAGCCCATTCCCCTCAGTTTGTGGAGACGTGAGAGCCCTTCTCCACGTGCACCTTTGCATTGCAAGCGAGGCTCAGCAGCCACCTTCGTGCGGTCATTCTGGATGAGTACATCTCTTGCTGCCCATGGGTCCTGCCACCTCTCCCTTGATGGGGCTGCAGCTGGGTGCTGCTAAGAGCAGCCTTCCATCAGGACCTTCCTCCTTGTGCTTCCTAGCACTGCCAGGTGGTGACCGTAACTTCCCATCCCAGAACTGCCATGAACCATCATGAACTTCTGCTGCAGCAGAGACAGAGCAGAGAGCAAAGGGCATGCTGGGTCTGACTTGGTGTGCTAGCATCTTGCTGACTTGAGCATCCCTAGGACAACTGGTTTGCTTCAAGCCTACTGCTTTGGAAGAGGCTCAGGGGAGGGTTAATGAAGTGCCTCATTACTGCTCCCAGGTGCTTGGTGGGTTCTTAATTAGAAAGAGGCTTTAAAAGGCCTCTCCTCCAGCCCGGCAGTGTGATGGGCTCCTGAAGAGGGTTAGTAATTGTTGGGGCCTTCATGGTAATAGTGATTGCTGCAAGCCCCAGGCTTGGAGGTACTGGGAGAGGAGAGCTGGGTCCTCATGTGCTGCTGGGGATAAGGAAGGGTCTGCAGGCTGGACCCAATGTGTCTCCTTGTTGGGGAGGGTGGTGAAAGCAAAGCCTGCAACTGGCTGGGCTTGATCCTTCCTCTGTGTGGGGCTGGGGGTGATCCTGTGTGGCCACAGGCGCCCTCTTTGCACCAGGCGTTGTGCTCTTGGTCAAAGCAAAGTAAGCTGCCCTCTTCACAGGGAGCTGCTCCAGGCTGAGCCATGTCTGTGGGCCTGTTGTGAGGGTGATGGCCATGCTCCCGTGTGGGTTCTCAGGGCCTGAAGCCAGCAAGATCTACCAAGCCTGAGGTAAAGTGGAGTCCCCCCATCAAGGCAGGTCCCAGGCAGGGTTTTGTGTCCCAAGAGTACAGAACTCCCTGGGGGTTTGGGTGGCAATAGCCAGGGCTCATTGGCGTGGTGCAGCGGTCCCTGGGGCTGAACCCCAGTCTGAAGCATTAAGGTGACCCTAACACCAGTGAGGGAGCAGCAGTGGGGTGCGTGCCTGGCCCCACCTCTGTGAGGGGCTTGTCCCCGCTGACGTCCCAGAGCTCTGCTTGTTTTGGTTTTTTCCCCTCCTGTTTCAAAAACAAACAAAAAAAGGGAATTTCTTCACTTGCGGTCTCTCAGAAAGGAGAAGCTCCCACTGGGGACGGAGCTGCTGCTCGAGAGGATCCCGCACCGCATCCCTGCTCCGTGCTGGGGGCACCGCGCTCCCTGGGGACATGGGTCCTGCTCTCCTGCTGCTGCTCACCACAGCCAGCACCTGGCACGGTAGGTCCATTGGCACCCCAAAGCGCCCCATTGTCTCCGTGGTACCCTGGGGCAGTTTGGGGGTGCAGTGAGGGTTTCCTGGGTGTCTGGTGTGGGTGCTCCATCCCTCACGTGAGGAGGGGTGACAGCCACAGTGGCGCTGGGGACAGGGCAACGCTGAACTTGGACTAATGGGCACAAAGCTGAGCCCCCAGTTGTGTCCACTAAAAGCTTGCTGTGGGCTGGGAAGGTCCCTGCTTCTGGAGGCTGCTGCATGAAGCAGCCACTGGTGCTGTAGACAGGTTCAAGGAGCCTTGGGTTTCATAGGGAGCAGGCAGGAGAATATCTCTCCTCCATGGCATCGCATGGAGGGACACCAGCTTGGCATTTAGTGCAGCCTGGGCTTAGCAGCTTTCTGAAGGTCATCCAGAGCTGGTTTATTATTGTCATTATAGAGGAAGGGCAGTGGTGGAAAGAGGGTGTGTTGTGAAGTCTGTGTTGGCTCTGAGGGCTGGCTTGTGGCTGCCTGCAGCACTGCCAGGGGAAGACCAAGGGGTAGGGAAAGGCGCACGTAGCATAGGAAGAGCCTTGGGAATGGGGAAAAGGGGAAGGGAGACTTTGCAGTGTTTGAGTCTGGGCAGGGGTCAGGAAGAAGGAGAGGTTCAGCAGAAGGTGTGTGCAGAGGGGAGCACACCTGAAATAACCCTTTGTGCAGACGGGTGGGAGCTGAAGGTGCTTGGGCTGCAGTGAAGGAGTCGGAAGTGAGCTGCATCCGCACCTTGGGATGCACGAGTGAGGATTGCTGTTTTCTGGTGGTGCTGGCACACACAACAGAGCTGTGGGGTCGGGATGTGATGGAAACAGGACTTGGGCAGCCAAAAAGGGAAAGGTGAATCCGCCTGGGTTCTGAGGCTGCGGAGATGGCCAAGAGGCAGTAACCCATCAACCTCAAGAGTCACTGAGCCTGCTCTGAGGTTTCCAACCAAACAGACATTACTAATCTTACATCTGAAGTGCTCAGAATACTAATCTTACATCTGAAGCCTCTCAGACCTTGTGTGGCACTTTCCTCTTGAGCTTGCTTGGGGGTACAATGAGACTTGGGTGTAAGATTCCCCCCTGGAAGGGGGCAGCCCAGGGGGAAAGCGTATCCTTGAGCCACTTCACCCTTCATGCTTTCACCCAGGATGTTTGCATCCCACTTGCTGTGGCACTGCAGGGGTTTTTCACTTCAAGTCTTGTCTTTGACGTGCTGAGCTTGTCATGTCTTTTTCCATGCTGGCATCTGGGTGGTGAAGGCTTCAGGGATTGTAATTCCTTCTGTTTATGTGACACCCTGGCATGGCAGGCAGTGCCTGATACGGGTGTCAGACACACGTTTGTCTGACTACTAGCACTGTTGGCCATCTGCAGCACAAAACTACGCTGTGCCAGGGTTGTCCAAAGCCATTGCCTCAAGCTGGAGTCAGAGCCCAGCTTCCTTCTACCTCTTGGGTTGCAAATGCATCTTCTGAGAGTAACCAGGTTGATGTGGTGTATGTCGTGGTGTGACCGCCCATTACACCCATGGGCTCGTGCTGAGGGGAGTGTCAGGAGCTCAAATCCCAGTTTCAGACCAAGCAGAAGAAAGACTTGAAACCTGATCAGGTCACATCTGTGGGTTTGGCCATCTTGAGAGGTCTTCCTGGGGTTTCTTTTGTTATTGTGGGTGGTTTAAACTCCTGAGGTAGGAACCCCTAACACACACGCGAGGAGCACCCTTTTCCCTGTGCCCGGCCTCACAGATACTGTGGGTGACTCTGGGGAAGGTGTCCTCAAACAAAGCATTTCCTTATCATCATTGAGTGGAGGGAGCAAGGAGACATCATGCCTAGTATGAGTGCCAGGGCCAGACCTTAGCCTAGTTATCCCCTGGGTCAAGTCAAGGTCCTGATGGCTGCCGTCTGTGCTAAGGCTCTCGAGCATCTCTGCTACCTCTGTACTGATGTACCTCTGTACATCCTGCCTCTGATGGAAGAAGCCTTCACTTCTTCCTCACCATTCCCAAACCATCGGCAGAGGAAAGTAATGTTTTGGCTGGCATGGGAGAGGCAGGGACGGAGCCTGCAGCTGTAACTGGAGGTCACGGTTGCACAACCCAAGTGTGGTAAAACCATTGGCCAGCAGTTCCTGGCAGTGCTGCGGAAGCTGCTGGAGAGCAGCAGAGCCATCCTTGGGCTTCATGCAAGATTGCACCGTGGTCAGCAGGGACAGAGCCTGCCCAGCAGCACTGCTTCCCCATTCTGGATAAGGAGCTGCTGCTCCGACTTATCCCCAGCACACACAAAGGGGCGGATGCTTGGGTACCCTTCCCTTGTATTCAGTGTCTGCCCTCCCTGCCCTCACTGCACTTGTGTGGTGGTTGTGCTATTGATAGGAGCCTCCAGTGACAGCCTGCTGGCTTCTTCACTGTTACACAGAGCAACTATCCTGACCTTTTTCTGGCCACAGTGTCTCAGTGGAGGATGGTGACAACAAGGGTGCAGAGTGATGTGAATCTTGGTTTTCCTGTCCTCCTGGTGTGGCCAAGCCAAGGACCAGTTAGAACATGGGCTCTCCTCCCTGAGCCAGTTTGACTGCAGCCCTGCATCAGAGGGCTTGTGTATACCATCAAATGATGCTGAAGCCTTGGATGTGGAGGGATAGCTGAAGCAGAAAGTAGGGATAAGCATCCAATGACAGCTAAAGCAACAGGAATGTGTCAAGGCCTGCTAGAAAACACACCAAAAAGGGAGGAATCTTGTACCTCATGTATGTGGAAAATGTGGTTTTGTGAAGGATTCTGGGATATGTTTCTCTCCACTCTGGGAATAAATGAGGCTTTTCCTCTTTCCACAGCAAGATAAAGGCATCACGCACGCAAACCCAAACAAAAAACCCCAACAGATAAAAGTCAAATATTCCATGCTCTGAAGCTCCGTGTCCTCTGCTGCTTCCCACAGGGGCAGTCAAGTTGATCCAGGCCTTGTTTGGGTTTCCCCTGGACAACTCTATCATCGTCATGCACCAGTAACACTCTCCAGGGCCTTGAGTCTCATGTTCTCAACCCATTGTTGCATGGAGGGAAGCATCCATCCAAGACTGCTTAAATGATGCTCTTGGGCTCGTATGGATGGGCTCTGGTTTTACAGCCCTGAGCACAGCTGGAAGCACAGGGCACATCTGTACCCTGAACATAGTCTTGCTCACCACATGAGCTGTGAGCAGGGGTGGATGCTGCTTCTGCTGGTGTGTTACAGGCACAGTGTGTAAGGCAGCACCAGAGAATGGATTTGCTTTAAACTGTCTTTGCTACCCATGACCATAGCAGCCTTCTCCTCCCTCCTCCCTGCAACAAGGGCTGTCATATCTGACCGCTATTCCCTTTCCCTTGAAGGAGCATACGTGTTACATATATGCATATATGTAGCTGGATTAATGGTGTCATTATAGGGTGCTTTTCTCTCTCCCACCTTGTGACGAGATCATTCAGCTAAAGAGCTCCTATGAGTTCAGAGCAGTCTGCTGCAGAGTTTGACCATCACAAGCCCAAACCCAGCCCCTGTTTCTGTTGCCACCTCCCCAGAGGAGCACAGCCTGCAGTGACCTCCTCTGCAAAGAGCATCAGTTGATAAACTGGTCAGCCACCTTTATACTTAGTGTTGGTTAAACCTTGGTGTGTGTCCCTTTAAGCTGTTAGCGACTGGGAGGGAAAGCAGAAGTGGGAGAATAGCCCTGGATAGGGGCTGGAGGGGGGTGCGGAGCCCCCCGAGCACAGATAGCCCTTTGCAATGTGTTTCCTGTCCTCCCGAAGGCCTGCAATGGGGGTGGCAGTACCACTGCTTCCCCAGCCCCGCGGCACTGATTCATTTCTCACTTCCCCCCACCCTAAATATAGGTGGTGACTCAAAGAACTCGCTGACACGGCAAAACAGGGGGAGAATATTTCCCCCTGACACTAAGGGCTGGAGTGGGACCCTGGTTCCCCTTTATCCAGCCAGCAGAGGAGCCATCTTCAACATAGAGATGGCTTTTTGAAACCCAGATGGGCTGCGGTGCCACTGCCAGCACGGCCCGGGTGCTCATCTACAACTGCAGCCATGGGCTTTCATGAGCTGTTCAACTTCCCTGTGCCTCAATTTCCCACCTATACTATACTATATAAAATATATAATGCTGACTCATTTTGTAATGTTTTGATGGTATCTAGGAGTAGAAAGCACTGCGTGGTTCCACGACAAGGTGTAAGTTGGTGTCCATCAAAATCTAGTACCTGGTAACCAAAAAGGCAGTGCAAGGGCATACATTGACCTCCTGCTCTGCATAAGCTTTTCAGGTCTGTTTGAGCTCATCACAGCAACAGAGAGCCCCATCCACTAGACCTTACCTAAACTTCATTAAACGGTGCTATGGGCTAACCCAGTTCATTTAGTAACTCCAGCTTTGTCACAAAAGGAAAACTGTTGCAAGATGAGGCAAAACCCAACAGGAGCAATTTGCAAGCTAGCATCAGACCTTATCAGCTCCAGAGGATCGATTTCCCTGTCCCAGTACTCAAAATGTTCACATGTGGGGTTTTCTGTCTTCCCTGAATTCATTCCTTGGAGTATCAGTTGTGTCTGCCTGGTGGATAGAGAATGGAGTGATGACAGCCTGTCTGAATCCCAAGCTCAGCCTCCTCCTGATACTGAACTACTCCATACTCAGCAGTGTGAACTCCAACAGAGCATCTTCAAGGACCATTCTTGCATCCTCATTCTCTCTCTTTCCTTTGTAGGCTCAGCATCCCTGGTGATCAGTCCTGACGTCCCTGCTCTGGTTGTCAGCACAGGTGATCCAGTCACCTTGCACTGCTCAGGGAAGTCCAAAGTTGAATGGCAAACCAAAAAGGATGTATTCAGCAATGACACCAGCAGCATGCTCAGCATTCCCAAGACCACTTACAGGGATACAGGCACCTATATGTGTGCTTATGTCAACAGCAGTGACAAGAGCATTGCAACTGTGCATCTGTTTGTGCGAGGTAACCATGCTTCCCTCTTCCAACCTATGCTGGCAGAAGAGCCTCCTTCCAGGCAGGGTTCATGGCCATTACACAGCTCCGTTCTATGGCTGTGGTTGCGTGTGTGTTTGGGGACCAGTGCAGGCTCCTCGTGGGGCAGTGGCTCATCCAAACCATGTAAACCCACAGAAAATGGGGCATGGGGCTGAAGCTTTGGGGTACAGAGCTGCATCTCCTGCATGTATGGGAATGGCTGGAACCTCTCCCTCCATTTAGTTTGGCTTTTCTTCCTGAAAAAAACAGGGATGAAAGTGTTTGGTGATGTTATGAGCAGTGAGATCTGGAAATCAGAGACCATATTAACAGTACCCCAGATAAGGGAGAGAACCACATGAATCGCATCCTTACAACATGGCCTGAAACCCAAAATATTCTTTTACCCCAGAAGAAGTTATCCTGTGGCAGCTCCATCACTTGAGGTGACCTCTTCCCATGTACCAGAGATTCTGCCCTGGGCAGGGAAGCTGGCGGTCTAATAACTAACACCATGGTGTTAATTAGAAGTAAGCATACTTCCCAGGCTCTCTTGTCTCTGTGCGTCTGCGGGTTGGTTGCTGCGCTCTCCTCAGATGCCTTGGCTGAAATTGGGCTTGTCATGTGGGTTTTTGGAGGCTGAGTCAGGCAGACGTTGAGCAGGGCTGCCCCAGCCTCCAGCTCCCACTGGGCAGCAGTGCTGGAGGTTTGCCCTTGCTGGGATGTGTTTCTGATGCATTTTCTGATCCCATTCCTTGTCCGACCTTGCCTCCCCACAGATCCCAGTAACGTGTGGAACACCCTTGCTTTCCGGGTCGGTGTGACCAGGGGTGGTAACGCTGAGCTGCCCTGTCTCATCACGGCCCCCGAGTATGGATCCAGTGTGACCCTGGTAATGGATGGTGGCTCTCACCTCCCACCCGGGACCAACTATTCTTTCAGTGCCGAGAAAGGAATGACGCTGTACAATGTGCAAAGCAAGCAGAAGGGCTTTTACAGATGCCAAGCAGTGATAAATGGGAAAATTGAGAAGTCGCCAAGAATAAGACTGCTTGTGGAAGAAGGTAAAGGCTTGGGGTTGGTGGTGTTCTCAGTGAGACAGCAATAGCTAGGATGGCCACAACAGATAGTTAAGGAAAAGCTCCTCACCAGTGGAAGGAAAGGCCTGAACCTGCAGTCTTTAAAGGGTGTTTAATGGAGGCAAAATTCCATCAGCTCCTGGCAAATTACTGGCAGTGTTAAAATCTTTGCCAGCTCTATCTCAGAACAGAGGAAAAAATCCACCTATCTCCCTGATGTTCTTCTGCAGGTCCTCAGGCCCTGATGCTCAGGACATACCCATGGCAGAAGGTTCCTCTTCCCTTTCAACCCACAGTGCTGACTGCTGTGCTCTCCTCTACATGTACTACCCCCCATAGACACATGCACTAAAGAAGTGGTGATTGCTAGGGAAGGAGAAGGCTAGGAATGTAAAGAGACTGGAGAGGATGGAAAGGAAAAGGTAGCCAGGCCCTAGGGAGTCTCCAAAGCACTTGAGGTCTCTGGACCAGCTGATGCTGAATCTTTCCATGCTTGCCTTTGTGTAGCTCTGGAGAAGCCTGTATCAGTGATGATGGACCCTATAGACCACGTGCGAATTGTGGGCGAGCCTTTCAAAGTCACTTGCAGAATAACTGCTCCTTCCCACAAGTACGATGTCAGATGGGTGACGGCAGCAAAGAACGTAAGTTGTGGAGCTTTAAGGGGGAATAGGGCTATCCTGGAGACTGGGAGGTGTAAGAACTACCCAGACCCAAGCCACCTGCCCAGCCAAAGCAGCTATTCAAGCAGGCTGTAGAAATATGAATATGGATATGTCATCATTTCCTTGGGATGACACAGGGTTAGGAAATACCTGTCCATCATCAGGCTATTGCTGCAAGAGAGAAGGAAAGTGTATTGTCTCAGGTGAGTTTATTGAGCAGGAGCCACAGTACCTACTAAGGCAACACTTCTCCACTTTATAAGCCAGGGCTTATGAAGTAGCAAACATGTTTAGGACACCTGATTCCCCAGAGGAAAAATATGGGTAATGCGCTTCAGCATATGTGCGGTGCTGGCTTTTAACTGCTAGGTGGTTGGGGTTTGTTAGAGGTCCTTATTATACCTGATGTCTTTATTAAGGAGTTGAAATAACTGACAAGATACGTTTGGATCACACAATGTAAGAACAACTTGCAGTCAAAAGGCTGACAACAGCTATTATAACCTGAACTGATGTGGAATGTCTGCCCTGAATACTTCAGTTTAATATGCCTCCTCTTGGTCTCCACCCTAATGGCTTGCAGGGACAGAGGCTCCATAACCACGCTCAGGGGGTGGGTATTTGTGCCATAAATATTCCGTTCCACCTTCTCCCTTCCAAGGAAGTGCCTGATGCTCCCTCCCTGCCTGACAGGTCTCGACAGCTCAGAACCGTAGCTTTGAGAATGAGAACTACTTCATCAGTGATGTCCTGTCCGTTTCAGCGGTGTCCATGGAAGACAGTGGGAAGTACACCTGCATAGCTAACAACTCAGTAGGAGTCAGGAATGCCTCCACAATGCTTCGGGTAGTAGGTGAGCGCCTTCATTCTGCCTCCATCCTGTTCCTAGGTTTCTTGTTGGAAACACGGTTCTTGCTTGTGCTTGAGAGCTGCGGAGCTGCTAGGAGAGGAACTGGGGTTCCTTCCGTGTCTTGAGGGGAAGGAAGTCATGTTCTGGATTCTGGGTGAAAGCCCTGAAAGCTCTGCTCAGTGTCTGTGTGTTTATAAAGATCTTTAAAACAAAAGGACCAGGAAAAGCTGGCTACAAGGAAGCGCAAGCTACGTGAGCAGAGTATGGATCTGTCTCTTCCAGAAACAGATCCACATAAGAGGATTCGGGTATATTATATGCTTGTTTGTACCTCAAGAAGGAAAATCCATCCTTGCAGCTCATAGCTGGGGTTTGCTGATGACCCAAAGCTGCTGCATGCCATGGCTTAGAAAGGGCTTGGTCTGTTTCCAAGTGAGAAGCCAGCAGTTCAGCTCAGCAGCCTGTCTTCTACAGGTGGTCAGGAGATACAGTTTTAGGCTCATCACTTACTAGGATACGGCATGTAAAACCTTTTTGCCCATTCGTTAAGGTTTTCCAGCTCTCCTCAGGCAGAGGGTAATCCAAGCTGCCATCACAGAGCAGCCACTTACAAGTACCCCTCTGGCAACGTGATCTGTTCAGTGCCTCATTCCCTCCTGCAGTCGCACTGCTGAAGCTGCCCTTTCCTATAACAATCCATTTATGAAGCTGATACGAGTTTATTCCATGTCTCTGGACACGCCTGCTGATGGCCATGCTCTCTTCCATCCTCCAGAGAGAGGTTACGTGTTCCTCACCCCTCTGCAAGCCACCAGCCAGGAGGTTGCTTTGGGAGAGAGTCTGATGCTGCAGGTCCACATTGAGGCTTACCCAAAACTTCTGCGCTGGGGCTGGGAGCACACAAACCCCCTGAAGAACACTGGGAGCACTCCAGTGCAGGGCCAGATGATGCCCGGAAACAACCGGTACGTGCTTTCTGGCTTATACCCTGGCCATGGCATGTTTCCAGCAAGGCTTTCCTTGTGGTACAGGCAGACAGAACACTCTGGATGTAAAGAGGGGAACTGTTCTGCTTTTCAGTCTCCTCTTTCCAACATTATTATTAGCAAACTAGAGTGAGCAGCTCTGGTCAGGTCAAGGAGGCCACCACCTCTGTCTGACTTGGCAGCCTTCCCTATAGAAAACCTTGCTGAAGTCAAATCCCATTTGTGGTCTGGTTGCTCAAGTGCACGCCCTCTTTGCAGGAAGAAATTGCAGGGGTGGATGAGCAGTACAAAACACTGAATTCCCTTGGGGCTTCTCAAACCTGCCCCATGCTCTGAGGTCTGGAGAGTGTACGCATCCAGCGGCACTGTGCACCCATGTCAAGAGGAGCCATAGGACCTAATGGAGGGCACAGGCCTGCTCTCCCAAAGCCACCAGCCAACTGGGGCCAAAAGGAGACCAAAAGAAAGGGAATGATTCCCCTTTCTTTTTCTTAGAAAACAGAAATAATCCACAAGAGGAACTGCACCACTCAGCAGGAGAATGGCTTTAGGGCAAATTATTTCTTGCATTGAGGTCTGAGAAATGGGTTGGGGCAGAATGGAGTGGGCAGTAGGGACTGTGACTTGATGGGCTAAGAAATGGAATAACTCATTCTGCCAAAGGCAGGAGGACCAGCATCCTCTGGGCCTTCAAAGGTGATGGTTCAGATGTTAAACTCTTCTTTCTGAGCTTTCACCCACCATAGCCTTTCAGAAGTGCTGTGCACTTGGTGGCAAAAGGTCTTTCCTCTAAGGAAGATCACACCTTCCCTGCTTCCCCTGCAGAAGAAGTAGCAAAAGCTGGGATCAATGCTGGGAAGTGTTCACCCACTCCAAGGCATGGGAAGCAGCAGCATCTCATTGAGCAAAGACTGTGAGTGCCTGGGTTTCCTCAAAACAGCTTATTCATGGTGTTTACTCTCTCTGCATGAGCAGGTATAACAACACGCTCTTCCTGAACCGCCTGCAGGAAGGAGAAGGAGGTCTCTATACGTTTTATGCCATCAACAGTGAAACCAACGCATCGATTACCTTCAGTGTCTCTGTGAAATGTAAGTGCTTTCATTGCTCTTTCATTCTGCTTGTCCTGGGGCTGCTGCCCAGATGGTAGCAGGTAGGATGGACTACGAGGGTACTTGCAGCCCAGTGCTCACACAACACACCGTCCAAACCCATGCATAGCACAGGGCTTCCTGGGGTTTTATTGTTGCACACATGGAAAGTAAATCAGAGCACGGAGAATGTGGTCATAGCATTTACTGTTCATGTGTCTTCCCCAACAGCTCCTCCAAGGCTCTGCAAAATCAAGGTGGCAGCCAATGACTCCAGCATCCTTCAGTGCATGGCCATCGGCTACCCTGCCCCACGCATTGAGTGGTACCAGTGCCCCGTTCACTCTGACAAGTAAGAAATGCCCAGGAGACTGAGCACCTCCAAAGTGCGCAGCTCCCCTTGCTATGCTGGCTTTCATGGAGCAGGTAACACAGCAGAGCCTGATCAGTAACAGCAACAGGGATGCTGCCCTCCTAAAAAGGCTCCTGGGGGCTTTGGAGCGGGTACCGTTCCTAAAGTCCTGACCTTGAAGAGTTCAGACACCTGTGATTCATGTTCTCCCAATGCTTTTCTGAGGAACATGTGGATCCCTTGGAAAAGCATCCTGGTGTATGCTGCTGTAGGGCTACATCCTGGCTGGTCCTAGCCGCCTTCCTGGGGCCTCCACAGGTCTAAATCTCCACAGAGCACAGGATTAGAGCTACAGTGTGATGGAGGCAACAGGAGCTGCCCGGTCAGGGGTTGCTGTGTCTCACACCCATTCGAGGAGGGAGCTGCTGGCAGAACACAGCTGTAGCCACATAAAGGCAGTCAAGGCTCTGTCTATACAGGGCTTTGATGTTAAGGGACAGGTCTTTAACAGGGCCGAGAGTAATAAATCTCGCAGAACTGCAACCATTAATTCCCTGTGTCTCCTCCCTAGACTGATACAGGCACCAGTTCATCTATGAGCAACTGTGCTGCAAGGAGCACTCATCCTCTCCTGCTTGGTATCTCTGCAGATATGAGGACTATAGGCTGCTACTAAATGACTCCAATCCCCAAGTGGTGAACGTGTTGCCCTTCCGAGAGATGGAGGTGGAGAGCAGCATCCCCTTCCAGGAGCTGGGTGCCAACTTCACCTTCTGTTGTATGGCCATGAACAGAGAGGGGAACGCTTCTGACGTGTTTCACTCACTCACCATCACCAGTAAGATACAAACTGGTAGCTTGGCAGAGTGGGAAGGATGTGGGAGCTTTTTGAGGACCCATCTTTCTATATGTACATCCCTATTGTCTTTCATGAGAGGTGGAATAGATTCCACAAGCCCCCTGTCCTCCCAGGAGTGGGGAGGCTTTGGCATTTGTCAGTCCTGGGAGCCATGTGGGAATTGCTGGCTGAGCCATGCCATAAACACCATATAATTGCAGGACCCAGCTCCAGAGTGCAGGAGCTGTTGCCCACTGGAATCCAGGGGTTGCATCCTTTGATGGGACTGTTCTTGCTGCACAAATCTCAGTCCCCAGTTAGTCTGACCAGTACCTGGTGCTGTTTGTGTGGAAACTGGGTGCATGAGGGGAGCCACTGCAGCTTTAAGTTTGGCATCAAGAACATTTCTTAGTTCCCAGCAGCATTTTAGGGTGTCTGTGAGGTCAGTGCTGGGTTGTGTTGCGTACGGGGGAAGATGCTCATAGAGGTACAGTTGAAATAACAGTGTTTAACTCTTTCCTGTGGTTTTCTCCTCCAGGAAGTGTCATGGCCCCCCCAAACAAACTCTTCAGCCCTGTTCTCTCCACCTGCATCGGCACATCTGTCCTGCTGCTCCTTTTCCTGCTCTTCCTCCTCTACAAGTACCACCAGGTCAGACTCCCCATTGTGTAGCAAGGGCTGCCCAGCTTCTGCTGGCAGCCACAGGCAGGGAGCACTCAGCCTGGAGGCACCAGGCAATGCCTCCCTCATCTCCCTTGCCTCCCAACTTCCCCCCCGTGTTTCCTGCACCGTACCCACTCTGTTAACACCTCTCCTGCCCTGCTCCCTCAGCCCTGTAGCCCAGGGGTCAGTGTGGCTATTCCTTGGTGTCAAAGGCGTTCATTCTGTGCTGTCAGTGGCAGATGGTTTTGCTTTGGTCACCTGAATCCACAGGGTGGATTACAGAGGGGAAAGCAAAAAAGGGGTTTGCAGCTTGCAGCTACTTCTTATTCTCCTCCCTGCTTTATGCAACGTTGTCTTTATGGGGGAACAGGATGATGTTAGGAGGTGTTTGTCTCCAGGAAGACTTGGTCACTATTTTTATACAAGAACCTGCCTCATTTTCTCTGCAAGACTCATTTGCAGCATTTAGAATCTTCTGGTTGTTTCCATAAACTGTACCCATCAACAGCCACCCCTGCTCCATCAGTGGGTGACAACCTCCTGGTTCTCAGCTCTCCCTTTTGGCACTCTTCCTTTGACAGCCTATCAAGGCTGCGGAATTCACAGCGAAGTTCTGGTGCTGGTTGTCAGAAGATCCAATAGAGCCCTCTCCCAGACACCTACAGCTTTGCAGGCAGAGCTGTACTGGGCCTGTAGTCCAGAGACATGAAGGGTGCATTGATGTGCAGGTAGCTCTGAAGAAACAGCTTTTAGGAAGGTCTTGCAAGCCCAAGAGAAGCAAGATGTGTTTAAAAACGATCTTGCCTATCTCAGCCATGAGCTTCTTTAGCCATGGCTGACTGCTGCAGTGCTATAAGTGAATCGTGGAGCAGAAAGCAGCAATGCTCACCCTCTGGGAGCAGACAACAGCAAATACACTGAGCGCATGTGGCATCTTTTATAAGGGACATCCACCAGAAACTGTGCTGCTTGGAGCATCCTTGTCTGAGCCTTTTTCAGCAGGCTGCATGGGCGAGGATGTTCAGCTCTCAGGCAAAGAAAATAGAAGCAATGTGGGGGAGAAAACAAGCAGATGCTTTGCATCAAAACTGCAGATCTGTTTGATTCAGTTATGGTCCCTCATGCCTGTGCTAACCCAGCTTTGAGCATCTCCTCATACACTGCATCCTCTGCAACTATGTGGAAGTGGTGAGGAGAAGCATTCGAGCACGCACCTCTTGCTAGATGCAACCTGAGGATCTCCATCACAGCCATGGTCATTCCACCCTGTGTCTGCCTTGATGGATCTGACACTGCCTTTACCACACTGGTCCTTGCCTGTCCCCCTGAACAGGAGCAAAGGCCATGCACACAAAGCTATTTCACTGTGTTTGTATCTGTGCTCCAGCCTGGCTCCTGAGCCCTCTCACCACGAAAGACAGCCTGCGGCACAAGCTCTGCTCCCAGGCTCCATCCAGCACAGCTTCCCCCTGCCTTGCTGGGTTACTTCTGCCATGAGATTCACAGGGAAGAGAAGGAATTCTGCCTTCTCTTCTCCATTTCTTTTTTCCCCTGTAAGGGAGGTGGGGCTGGGGCAGCCCCATTGCTCTGCTGCGCTCAGCAGCACAGGGTACCAGCCAAGGGGATACAGTGCAGACATCTCCCTCCAGCGCCAGCTGGGCACTGCCAGATGCTGGCCTGGTGGAACACTGCTGGTCCCAGCTCTGCCATCCCAAGTGAGGGCATGGGGCTAGTTTGAGTAAGAGGCAAGTGCCCCTGCAACCATGGGTCATGACTTTGAGGGGCTTTGGAACAGCAGAGGGACCAGGTCGTCCAGGAAGACCCTGTCTCACTAAGTCCACGACCAAAGCAAGAAGTGTTTGATGGGCTGAAGCCTGTCCTACCTCTGTGCCTGCAGAGTGAGAGCTGGGACTGGGGAACCCCTGGGACTTGAGGAACATTGAATAACTGGAGTGTCTTCCTTACAGAAACCCAAGTACCAGGTGCGGTGGAAGATCATTGAGGCCTGTGAAGGGAATAACTACATCTTTATCGATCCCACTCAGCTCCCATACAATGAGAAATGGGAGTTCCCCAGGAATAACCTCCAGTTTGGTAAGAAACTTTCCTCACTGCTTGCCTGGTGGTGTGCAGCTCATCACAGAGCTGAAATGCTCCAAGGGACAGAGCCAAAGCAACTGGGCATCCGGGTGTTACAGCAACATCCTTGCCCAGGCGTTGCTGCCCTCTTCCACACAGAGTGGCAAATCTTAGGGTACATGCTCCCTCTATTGCTCTGAGGAAGGTTGAGAGGATCATGTCCTTCCCCTGGTACAGAGCTGGTGAGCCCATGGTTGGACATGGCATCTTTCCTACCCTCTTTGCTCACAGCAGAGTTCCCCTCAGATGTTAACCAGCTCCTGACTAAGGGATGTGTCATCTTGTCTGGGCTCAGCAGGAACCCCCTCCCACCAGACATCCTCCTCAAGGCTCATGCAGGACAACTCCTCAATCTTTTTCTATGAAGCATCTCATAAGCACATTTTTTATTCCCTTTGCAGGAAAAACTCTTGGAGCAGGAGCCTTTGGAAAAGTGGTAGAAGCCACTGCTTTTGGGCTGGGCAAAGAAGATTCCGTCCTCAAAGTGGCTGTGAAGATGCTAAAGTGTAAGCCCAGAGCAATCTGCAAAGGCTGAACCCCCCCCAAATCCTTTGGGCAGGATGCAATGTGTGCTCACCATGTGTTGGTGCTCCCACTTTTGTTGGATGTTCCTGTGACCAGTACTGGTGTTGGAATCACATTGCTGCCATCCTTGTAGACATGCATGGCCAAAGGCACAGGGGGGTGCAATTTCCTCTGAGAGTGCCTCCTCCTTTTGTTCCATACCTGTGCCTACACCTTTTTCTGTCCTCTCCCTTCACCTCTTCCTTGCCCCTTCTTCACACAGCCTTTCCTCTCTTGTCTTGCAGCATCAGCAGACACGGACGAGCAGGAGGCTCTCATGTCTGAGCTGAAGATCATGAGTCACTTGGGACACCATGAGAACATTGTCAACCTGCTGGGAGCATGTACCTATGGAGGTAGGATCCTACAGCCCTGCTTCCCCATGGAAACCTCCCATTGCCTGCCCCTCGGAGGCTCTTCCCTCTCCTCATCTCACAACAGAGAGCTGATGATCTTGGCAGTGTTTTTTGAACGTGTAACTGCAAGAGCCCGTTTCCAGACGTGCTCATGTGCAGCATGGGTTCTGCTGCCCTCCCAGGGAAAGCAGTCCCCAGGACAGGCCACAGTAACATCAGTTCTCGATTAACCCTTCCTGCCTCTCTCCCAGGCCCAATCCTCGTCATCACCGAGTACTGTCGCTATGGGGATCTGCTGAATTTCCTCCGGAAGAAGGCTGAATCCATCATTATCCAGGATTCCTCACTGGACATCTCTTTAGAGAGTGCTGCTGATTACAAAAACATTGACCTAGAGAAGAAATACATCCGGAGGTAAGAGCAGAGTTCAGGTGGCCACAGGACTGGGTACTTGCTGGGACAAGTGTGCTGGGGAAAGATTGAGGCCAAAGCTTTGGGGACTTGCAGAACACCAGGATGTGAAAGGCACTGGGGCTGTGTATGTTTAGGTTTGGTTACACACCCAAGTTTTTCAGTGTTTGGCAGCAGTCATTGAATATCCCAGAATAAACATGTATTCCAATCCAGTCTGCCCTCCCACAATCTGGAATCAAAACGTTCTGGCTTCCTGCACTTTTGGGCGCATGGGTTTTATAGGACAAGAGGCTGAGCACTCCCCATCAGCTAAGGGCAGCTCCCTTGACAAAAGGGTAGCAGTATTTGGACCCCCACCCCACAAGGCACCTCGGTCCCCTTTCTGAATTGGCCTCAACACTGACTTTCCCTTCATCCTCAAGCCCCAGGCTAAGCCACTTCCCGCAGGCAGGGACCTGGTTTCTCCTTTCAGTGGCTGAAGGGCAGAAGGGAACTGCTGGAGGGTTGCTAACAGCCTGCCTCCATCTCTCTTGCTTCTGACTCAGTGACAGTGGCTTTTCGAGCCAGGGTTTGGAAATGTATGTTGAAATGAAGCCTGTGTCGTCATCATCATCTTCAGCATCATCAGATTCTGCACAAGCCAGGGGTGAGTTAACAGCCCACTTCTGAGTTTCCATGGTTGCTTTATCCTGGCCTCACCCCGTGTGGTTTATTCCGGGGAGCTGGGGCACAGCACGGCTTTTGGTACTCGTCAGGTTTGCAGCAGCTCTGCAGCTTCACTCTGAATTTCAGGGAAAAGCCCAGAGGAAGAAGATGGAAGCAGGGAGGACCTCCGTCCCCTCAACCTCTCCGACCTCCTGCAGTTCTCCAGCCAAGTGGCCCAGGGCATGGCGTTCCTCGCATCAAAGAATGTGAGTACTAACAAGATAACTGCTCCCAGCATCCCAACTGGGAAATGCTGGTGCAGGCACCATCCATCCTTGTCTGCATGGGAGCTGGGATGTTTTTGGATAGGGTGGCCAAGCTCAAGCAAACTGCTGCTGGAAATGGGCCTCTGCTCTGTTTGCTGGGTTCAGACATGCTGTGCCATGGTGTCTGGTGTCCCCTTCAGAGCCTTTGTCTCCCATGGGTTACAGGCAGTGTTAAGGATGGGAGCCCAAGGCTGTGTGTCCTACTGGTCTCACCGTTTTCTCCCCAGCTTGTGCACAAGGTCAGGAACTTTGATGTGAAGCTTTCTTGCCTTGGCAGCTTCCCCACTGCCCCAGGGACAGGGAACTGAAAGCAGCCATTGAGCTGTCTGCCAGGGCTGGCTCATTTGGAGTACCAGAGAGTCCCTGTGTGACTGTTTCAGAGATGAGAACAGTGTCAACAGCCCCTGCTCCCGAGCCTCCTCGCACGGGGAAAATGATGGCCCCATGAGTGACTATAGTATGAAATGTTATGTTGCACCAGCATTGCAGGGCCTGTACTCCTTGTACGTGACACAGTGCCTATGGCAGGGGCTTTTCAAGCAGTACACGTTCCCTTTGCCTCTGTTAAGTGTTGTTCCAGTGACAGGCCCCAGGCTGTAGGGAATTAGCTGGGACTGCTGGGGGATGTTGGCTGGGTCTCAGTTGTGCTCTCTTCTCTCCAGTGCATTCACCGTGATTTAGCAGCCAGGAATGTGCTCATATCAGATGGAAGGATAGCCAAGATCTGTGACTTTGGCCTGGCCCGGGATATCATGAATGACTCAAATTATGTTGTAAAAGGCAATGTAAGTAATTGAAATGGGGACAAGAGAAGGTACAAGGGTAGCATAAAGGATGTGGGATAGGGTAAGCTGCCAGCTTGTCCCAGGCTGCAGGACCCTCTGCTCTTCCAGGCCCGCCTGCCCGTGAAGTGGATGGCCCCAGAGAGCATCTTTGACTGCATTTACACAGTGCAGAGCGATGTGTGGTCTTACGGCATCCTTCTCTGGGAGATCTTCTCCCTTGGTAAGAAAGAAATGAGCTTACAAACCTCTTGTTCCCTATGGCTTTACCATCGCCCTAATGTCTCAGCAAGAGTTTCCAAAGAAATGGATGATTTACTGTAACTCAGAACTCCCTGAAAACAAGTAGCAGTGGCTCAGGCGATGCTCCGGGCTGCCTCTAGCCACCCTATAAGGCTGGAGTGTTACAGGCTCTGACCTGTGAGTCACCTTTGCTCCTGTCACTGTCACAGGTAAAAGTCCATACCCTGGCATGGTGGTGAACAGCAAGTTCTACAGCATGGTGAAGCAGGGATACCAGATGGCCAGGCCTGACTTTGCTCCCTTGGAAATGTGAGTGGATGTGCTGAAGTGACACTAGGGGTGAAAGGGTCGCTGGAGCTGCTTCCTGGGGTGGGTAGGAAGGTGGCACTGGGACCTTGGTGTAGGAGTGTTATGACTTTGAGCTTCAGGTTGGATCCTACTGGCTGCTCCTTGCTCCTGTAGGAAAGCAGGACCTGGGCCAGTCAGTTAGGATGCTCTATTCACCATCTCCTATTTATGAGCAGAAAGATGGGAGCGCTTATATGTTACATTCCTGGCCTTGGTAGGTTTTCTTCCTTTTAAAGTCAGCTAGTTTTGACTCTAGGACTGAAAGACAAGACTGAGTAGGTTACAGGAAGGTAATGAGTTTAACCTTAAACAATGAAGAACTGAAGGCATAAAGCTCCTTATTGATTGATTGGTTTATCCACTTCCATGTTCACCTTTACCTGGAGCACTGCACATACACTGACCCTGGGTTTTATAGTCAGGGGACTGCTCAGTACTGTGTGCCTGAAATACAGAGTATGGCACAAGGAAGCACAGAGCCTGCAGCAGCACAGTGCAGCCACCCTGCCCCTGTTTGGCTCTGCAGGTACACCATCATGCAGGCGTGTTGGAGCCTGGAGCCCACAGAGAGACCTACCTTCGACCAGATCGGCTGCTTCATCCAGAAAGAACTGGAGGTGCATAAGGAGCAGGTGAGGACTTCTGAAGAGAATGGGGGAGATGAGCTTTCCCCCTACATGAACTTAGCTCCTGGACAACTCCCCTGGTGCTTGTCCTTGCCTTTAACTGATGGGAGCAGCTTAGTGCTGGTGGGCGGTGCAGAAAGGCATCCAGATTTTCCTGTGCTCAAGGGTTAAGCCAGTCCCCACCATGACCAAAGGAGGCTGGACAAAGAAATACAGCTGCTTTGCAGCAACCTCTATGGGCAGCAATAGGGGTAGTGATACTACTGGCAGCACAGCAGCCCTGCCCCATCTCATTCCCCTGGGTTGGACAAAAGGCACACTCCTTTATCACTAGCCATCCTGCAGCTCCACAAAAGCACGGGCTAGCCATGCCTTGTGGGCACAAAGGGCAGCACTGACTGAGCATCCAGCGCTAGCTGGTCATCCTCTCAGGCCCTACACCACTGAAGGGACTGAAACACACTTGGGATGGGGTTTTTGTCTTTTCTTGATTTCAAGGACTACACCAACCTCCCCTCCACCACTGAGGAAGACAGTGGCTGTGATACCTCTGGCTGCTGCGAGGAGTCCTGCGAGCAAGAGGATAGTGGGCAGCCCCTTCTCAAGGGCAACAACTACCAGTTCTGTTAGCTGGTACCACCATTGCCCCGGGTGGATCCCATCCTCCTGGATCTGCAGAGCGCATGGTGCTGCCCTGCCCTAGGACAAAGATGACTTCAGCTTTGGCTCTCCTTCTTAAGTATGAGTGTTACTGACTCCCTCACTGAAATGACAGCGCTAGAGTGACTCAAAACCAAGACTCACCATGGGGTCCCTGAGGCCTTACCTGAAGCGTAGCATAGGTTGTGAGGATGGGAACACTCTCCATCTCTACAAGGTAAAGAGAGGTCCCTGGCACCTGCCTCCCCATCCCCAGTGGGGCTGTGTGTGTTTTGGTTTTGTAGGGTTTTTCAAATACTAGCTGCAGCCAAGTAACACATACCCACAACTGAACCCTTCCATCTTGAACCTGGAACTACTTCACACAGCAGAAGCAGCCCTCTTTCTTGGTGGTCCTGCTTTCTTCCCTTTGCCAGTCTGACCCTGGATGGTGCAGAGTGAGTGTTTAGATATAGGTAAAGCCTCTACTTAGCATTAAATACACATTAACCTCTACATTTCCTCACCCAATCTACCTCTACACAGCTGATGCTTTGGCATGGAGTGTTTGGGTGAAGCGAGCCAAGGAGCCAGCCTCAGGGTTAATGAACCTGGGGATGAAGGGCAGTTATTTCTCAGGTAAAACAGACATAACTGGTGTGCTCCCATGTCAGCACTGAACACAACCCCAATCCAGGAAAGAACGGCAGCTTAAACAGATCTGGAAATGATCAACATAACACACATCCTACAAACCTTCTGCATTATTAAACATGTAGCAATCACTGCCTTTGTCCCAAATACAGATATGCTCTTGTACATATTTTCCTGAGTGTATTTTTAATAGAAGAGCTGAGATAGAGAATAGTTTTTCATAAGCTAGGGCCTGATGCCCTTAAACTTACTTCTCGTCGAGCTCTTGTTCGGGGCTACTAGTGCCAGTAATGGAGTAGCTAATGAATCTTCTTCACCTGGCTCTGTACACCAGGTATAGGCACTGACAGGACTCAGGCAAACTACAGTAAAACACGACTACTCTATCACAGGTGGCCTTGGTCATACCCTGAGCAGTTAGCTTGTGGGCCACCTCTGATTATAGTAACTCTGGGTTTATGCTAACACTGAGTGATTCTTTCCTCCTTACTAAACAGAAAGCTAATTTATTTCTGTCAGCATTATAAAAAATGAAATATTTAGCAAAATGAGTCTCTTCTAGAGCTTTAAAAGAACTGTCCTTAAAGAGGAATGGATCATTGCACAGGTCTGCAACTCTGCTCCAGTTCCTCAGACACACATCTTTCCCATTACAAGTTCTCAAAACCATTCAATCTTGTGTAATGCAAAAACTTATTAAAACCAAGATTTTAAAACACTTGCTCTGAGTGGCCTGTCTGTAACAGAGGGAAAATGTAGTCCCCATGAATGGATATAATGGGGGAGCAATCTGAACTGTGATGATGGGACATCTAACAGTCACTGCATTCGAGATGCGCACATGGCCGCCACCAAGGGCAGGGAAGAGGCAGAATGGCCCTGGTGAGCAGAGACTCGGGTTACTGCAGCAGAACCTCCTATAGCAATTGCTTAGATGCAGCAGGAGCTCCTACGCAGGCTATTAAAGACATCCTGAAGAGAAACTACTGTCTGTAATGTGCTGCAGACCTCCTCTGAAAGTCACCTCAGGGGCTGCCCTGGGAAAGGCAAGGCAGAACAAGAACAGGGGAGTTGACCATCTGCAAAAGAGCTTGTAAGAACTGTCCCTCAGCTCTATTTAGCAGGATAATTTTACCTGACACTCTGGTGAAGTGGCCCAAGCCATGTCTCAAGCTGCTCCTCTAGAACACCAAGCTTTTCCTCACCACTCTGGCAGTGCAGAGCAGAGTCATGATGTATGTGCAGACAGTGTTTGTGCACTTTCCCACTGCAGCTCTCCAAGTCTTGTACACAAAAACCAAGTTACTCAGCCACAGTTTCACCCCCAAAATTGGAGATAATTTATTAAATCTTATCACTGACTGAAAAAGTCACTATGTCTCTTAATAATAAGTTAATGTTCTTAACAGAAAACCCCCAAGCCATATACTGCATTTGCTCAGACTTAATACATTTACTTTAACAGTATGGTATTCAATAGGTTCCCCTTCACAGAAGGGAGTTTTCAACCACACCACAAGCCTCTGACTCTTCCCCACTGCTCACTCAGGCAAAATAAACTCCCTGGATGGCAACTTCAGCAGTCCAGCTTTTCGTTTCTCTTCTGTGTGGGTCACAGCACCCATCCACCCACCTTCACCTTCATCAACAGCAAAAGGGAGAGGGCAGCAAAAAACACATGTAACTTTACAGCTGCAGCCCACAGTGTTCTCCAGCCATGCTGCAGAGGCAGAGGTCTCAGCCTGACTCTTCTCAAGGAGCTGATAAAGCAACCTGGGCAGCAAGAGGCTGCTCTAACCCCCACAGCACTGTATGGACAGGGGCAGGAACAATGTGACACCTAATAGATCACTAAGACTGTGCGGATGCAGCTCTGCTAGTATTTCCCCTGAGGGTGGAAGACAGAACCCTGCTTGCCCCTGCTCACACTGCATTCATCCTTCCTCCTTGGCTCCACAGACATGTTTTGTGATCCTGCTCTAAGGGCATGACAACAGAAAGGCAAGTCCTTGAACAGAATGAAACTGCTGAAGAAAACTGTCCAGGACAGCAGCACAGAAATTGAGTGTCCTCCTTTCCACAGCCACCTCCTCACATCATGCTCATACTGCCCACCAACGAGCTGGGCTCCCCTGGGGCTCACCCAGTTAATTCTGACTTTAACATACAGAACACTTCCCACTGACTGTATGTTTCAGCTTCTACACTATTAGGTGCTTACTGAAAGGACAAACAATTCTAGCAACTTTCTGCAGCTGGAGCACTCACAACCCTGGACCCAGGACTGCTGCCCAGATACAGCCAGTTAAGGCTGCATGGCTCCTCCTCAACTAAAAACTCCTTGCAACCAATGCATATGAGACCTCTGCAAGATTTCCAAGCAGGAGTCTTGTGTCCTAAATTAATCTGTTTAGACCATTTTGGAGGAAATCTTTGCTCTCTGCCACTCATGCTGCTCCCACACCCCAAACCTGCCACCAATATGCACAAAGAAGTCAGGAAGCAAGATTCAGAATTAAAATCCCTGTGTGCTTGATACTCCCGGCTCCCAGGAAGGCCTCTGCCCTCTCCACTTGCCTGCTGCAGGAAGGGTGATGTTTTGCACAGTGGGTCCATCACACACCTCAGGAGGCAGCTGCAGCCTTCGTCAAGGGGGTGATGAACCCATGCTCACAGCAGCTATGATGACACTATGGAAGCACACAGCTCTTTGGTCATTAACAGCAGTCAAAGCCACCAGCATCACATCTCCAACCTGTAAAAGTAAACCCAAGCCAGACAGCTTGCAGAAGCTGGCCAAGCCCACCCATCTCTAAGACCAGAGGCAGGCTGGTTTGTTACTCAGCAACCTCTATCATCCTCCTGCTTCCCCTCCTCATCCTCTTCTGTTTCTGTTTTAATCTGGGCCACCCCGAGCCGGTACAGAGCATCGCGAATCACCACCTCCCCAGGCTGGCAGCTCTGCACGATCTCCTGGATCTGCCGATTGACAATTTCCCTGCTGGTGAGGAAGTCCATGAGGCGGTTGTAGAGGTAATAGTGTGTGGCATTCTCAAAGGTGATGGGCTTTTGGCGGACATTGCTGGTTTTGCTGTCGTTGATAGCAGCGATGATGGCACTGTATGGCTCCAGTTCCCGGCACAGGGACATGCAGTGGTGCTGAGCCGTTGGGTCTCGGGAGCTGTTCTGCTCCAAACCCGTGTGAACAATTCGGCGTGCTGCTGACTTGGTGATTGGGTGCTGCACAGAGTGCTCAGCCACAGTCATGTCCACACTGTAGTGCTGGTCCAGCAGTTCAGGGCAGGACACGTACTGCAAGAGAGACATGCACCGGGTAGAACAAAAAGCAATTTCCCCCCAGCTGAGAAGAGCAAGACAAGACCAGCACTTGGTGGAACTCCAACCAGCACTATGACTGAGGGCAGAGGGAGGGCCAATTGATTCAGGCTTCCACTAAACACTGTAAAGGTGGTCCTGTATGCACCCCCCCTCACTCATATGCCCTTAGAGATAACCCCAACGCATTAGCAACCCTCTTCTTCTCCCATTTTTCAAGCAACAGCAGTAGTTTGAGAGAAGTGAGTTGTTGTGTCAAAGTGACATACTCAGAATTTCAGGATTTGAACTGCTCTTCCTATTAAGAAGCATGAACTTAATGTAACACCCCAACCGACAGATAACACTTTCCACTGTGCTCAGAAGCTGTGAGCTTGGCCAAATTATCTTGAGGCACAACACATGTTACACATACCTTTTTAAAGTTACTTAAATCTCACTTCAAACTTTTCCATATGGGATTAGCACAGCAGAGTGCAAAGCGAACATAACTAACCGTTGGAGGATCCATGGGGTCAGAGAAGCAGCCCTGGTTCTTCCCCCACATCTGGGCAGTCAGGCCAGAACAGCAGACATCTGCACACAGTGCCACTGAAGACGCTGTATCAACAACATACACTGGAGGCCAGTGACGTGAGGAAACCAACAAGTCCACGTGATCCCGGGCATTTTCTCCTCTTACTATGTACTTGGAGCCACACACAACCTGGAAAGAAGGATTAACACCAAACAACACACTAAAACTGAAAACTTATGGGAAAAATATAGTCTTAAATTATGAAGCTTCCTTTCAGGTATTCCAGAAAATACAGTAACTAGCCAGTTACTGTCTCTAAATATATTCTGTTTCCTCCTCATACACATTCAACTTTATCTTGTTCAAGAAGAGGTAATTTTCAGCTACACATCAGGAGCAACATCAAAACCAGGCTTCAGATCACTAGCTGATACTAAAATCCCTCCAGGAATGGTCATATTCTGAGCCCCAAGGCAGTGTGTTTCATTCCAGAGGCTCAGAGGCACCTACTCCATTGCTTTTATTTAATGAGGGAGTTCCACACTGAATATAGCAAGGCAAGAAAAAACATTGCAACTCCAGCCCTCCTTACCTGATGTGGACACACTTTGTAGATTTTCCCTCCTGTGTGATTACCAGAGCCTCGTGCACTACTTGTTCCATTCTGTACAAACTCATAGAGAGCCAGGAGGGAGTAGCAGAGCTGGTCCTAGAAAAGACAGGCCCCAGAAAAAGTCTGGATGTGGTTAAAATTAATGGACTCCTGCAGGGGTAGAAGCCTGCAGGCAAGGTCTCCCAAATCCTGATCTGCACTTCATCCAGTAACTTCCTAGTCCCACACTCAGC